GAGTCGGCACTTTCTTTGTGGTGAAGCCAAAACCTCAGCCTCAAGATTAGCTGATTCATCATGACTCAAGCATTCATAGCATTTCCATAGCCTTTCTTTCATTATGCAATATGTAAAACAATATATTTGAGAAAGGACTTGGGCAGGTTTTGAAATTATAATCATATTTTATTACTTTTCTTTATATAGAAAGTGGAAAACCAAATGTGGATTATGGATTAAAGGTAATATATTACTCAAAATGGACTCTTTTAGCCATGTTAGAATGCTGTTACCTCATCAAAACACACATGGATTTGTAGTTTGTTTCACTCACACATATTTGAGTCACCCTGCACGATTAGGCGACATTCAGACTGCAGCCTGAAGTGACCCAAATCCGATTTTTTCACCCCTATGCAACCTGTATCTGATGTTTTAATGACAGTCTGAACGACACAGATACAAATTTTTCAAGTGCAACCCAGGCCACTTGGATATGTGCTCTTAAAAAACCAATACATATCTGATCTTTTGACATGCGACTTCAGTCTGACCGGCCAGGTCACATTCATCCGACCTACATGTCAGGCTCGGAGTCGAGTCAATGGAGAGAAAGTGAGGTTAGCATGTTAAACAATGTTTGGGGGATCGCTATATTCAGACCAAATTGAAGGGGTCTTATCAAAACCGGGTGGTTTTTGAAATGATTGCCAAAGAAATGGCTGAGTACGGCTACAGGCGGTCCTGCTCCAGTGTCAACAAATAATTAAGAGCCTGCGAGCCAAATACAAGGAGGCTAAAGACTCAAACAAATGAAGCAGCCTTGGTCGTGTAATCTGTCCATTTTACGAAGAACTGGACCGTATTTTGGGAGACAAGCCCAGCATTTAGGCGACTTCCGTAAACCCTGAGCACACTCGCTGCATGTGACATCATCGTGTCCTCCAGTGCACATGCAGGACACTTTTGGGGTGTTAAAAGTTCACACTGGAGATCACATACAAGTCGAATTTAATTGGAAACGTGAACAACCTAGGAAAAAAATCGGATTTCACAAAAAAATCCTAATTAATCATTAATCCCTGCAGTGTGAACATAGCCTTAGTCTGACTCTGTCTAAATCTCCAAATCTCAAAATGCTCTTTTCAACCTTGTGGTGTGATGAAGCGGCAGTTTTCAAGTTAAGAGCTAAGCTACCTTTTGTTTACTAGAAGTTGGCAATTGCAGGACTGAAATTAACCAAATGAGTCTAATGAAGGTGTGTGGAGTTTAAAAACACAGTGGAGCTCACCAGTATTGCCACATGACACTGTTTGAGAGAAGAACTCCGCCTAAATCTGCAGGGTTTGTGTGTTAAACATGTGATGGGGAAACAACATTATAACATAGATCTGAAAATAGTGTAATATAGGCCCTTTAACTCAAATTTAATCAGCGATATGAAATTACATTTGACTTTTTCTTCTGTTTCTGTTATCTCCTTTTGTAAAGCATCTGTGGGTATCTTGAAAAGTACTGATTTACACAAGAAACTATATAAACTTCTTAAAAATGTATCTCTGGAGTATATTAAACTTTTACTGTTTGGTCAACCACATGTCCAGTTATGACCACTACAACCTGAACTCTCTTGTAACGTGCTTTGAGCTGCTTCTGTAAACCCTATGGGACTCTATAATGATGTCTTTGCACCACATGGTTCTCATTACAAACATGAGAGGGGCCGGTGGGACAGGGCAGGGGGGCAAAGGGGGGGCCGAAGTTTGTGGGATGCCCCGTCTGAACAGAACAGAGCCGCGAGTGTGCTTTTGACAGACCTGGTACTGTCAAAATCTGTGTTTTTAGGGGGAAGAGACTCACTCCATGGTTCCACAAATATAGCCTCGAAATCGCTTTAACACTAGCGCCCTTGTGTGTAAGTTCAAACTGGGTGGATTCAACACTTACAGACACAAAACGAAGCAAAAACATAAGATTCTGCGCCCTCATCATTTTGTTTGACGTAGGTCGCTGTAATAACAAGGATATTGTGGTGCTCTAAACTGGGTCTCTCCTCTACACTTGGGAAATCAGATTAGTCCAATTTAATGAGACCCCTTCCGAGTGCAAGATTGTGTTTATTTTCAGTGTTTCGTATGATTGTATTGCTGCAAAGTTATATTGTTATCTCATTTTCACTCACGCTGCACATTTCTCTAATCTGGCCGAGATTTTAAAACTTATATCAGGTTATTCATCTTGTTTTCAAATTTATTATCTACTTACGAGACCAGAGACGGCTTAAGTCTAGTGTAGAGGTAGTTTATTTTACGATAATCACTATTTTAAAGTTATATCTTAAAATTTGGCCAAGCTTTTTACTTTAGTTGTACAATAAAAGATATGGGACTAATACAGGACTATATGATTAAAGGGTAATGTAAGAAAATGCATGGTACGATATAGGCCATACTTAAAGCCGTCACCTGCTTCTCTCCATGGTGATGTTGCCTGGAATGTTCCACAGCAGTGTTTCCGGCAGCACTTTATAGTTAAGGTGGCCGCCTTGACAACAAGTGGCCCCCGCCTTGACTACGTCCCTCTGAACCACATGAATCCTCTCAAAAAACTATGGTCTTCTTCTCTGTCCGGTCTTCTTCTACTGTCTTCTTCTCTGTGCATTTACTGAACCAATTTCCAGTGAGAAAAAATGCACAGTATGGCATTACACTTATTTATCTCTATGGAGACAGCAGGTGATGCCACAGGGCCAAGGTACAAGTCGGATCTGTGCAAAGGCGAGCCCACTCACGGTAACAATGTAAGTTTTTAAGTCAATAAAAACCCATGTTATTTAATTAATGTGAGATGGATACTTTTAATGCCATACCGGGACATTCCAGACAAAGCAACAACGTCTCCATGGAGATAAGCAGATGGCCGACCCTCCACCAGAAATGTTACACAGTGCACATTTAAATTAAAGCTTCCTTTTCCTCCCTTCAACTTCATTTCTATTCTTGATGTAGATTTGGTTTGGTCCTGCTCTAGTCCTGGTTTAGTCCTGGTTTTAGTCACAGCTATTTGTGTACTGGGGTGTAGTGTGGCATTTAAGTAAGACATTGTCCTCTCAATATTGACAACATGACATATTTAACATTATAATTTTTAGTTAGTTTTAATGCTCTGGGTGAAAGTCGGTGTTGTAGATCTTGTCGCTTGAAGAAACCGCCAAAATTATGCAATTATTGTTATGAAAATATTAAAATAGCAACTATGCTCAGAGAAGTACAAGCACTAACAACTTCTGCTTAAGTAAAAGACAAAATTAGCTGTACTGGCACACCCAAACTCCATCTAACTCACTTCATTTATTCTCTCTGTTATTGTGCTTATAAATAGGTCTGTCACAATAACTCATTTTGAAGAACAACTCAAATGTTATTGTTGTACTGAAAAATATCAAAAAGGTCAAATCTAAAAATGCATCTGTGATGAAAAAAAAAAAAAGGCCTACTTGTAAATCATATAAACTTTGTAAAATAATTATTGATTAATAAAAATAAAGATTAACACCATTAGCTGAATAATGAACTAAAGGAGTGCAGTCCTTCAGTGTTGTGTTGGATATTTGCTTTGTTGTATTTGTAAGTCTATTGGTAGGAGAACAAACGTTTAGAAGGTCAAATAAAATGCAAAACTGTTGTCACTCTGGTCACGTGACTGGAGTTTATTGAAGCTTGTTAAACTCTGTGTTATCCTTTAAAGGCGCTCTGTCTGATTTTTACTGTCTTAAAAATGTGAAAACAAAACCAGTTTGTTTCAATCGTTTTGCAGTGGCCCAAAGTTATTCCTCTGTTACCTTTTTCATTCTGAGCATCCTAATTATTCACAGTGATGAGTTTAGAAGTGCACTGTCCTGCCAACAACACACTTCCTGATTATTGGACAATAAAAACACTTTCTGTTTGGATGCAGACAGTACTTATTTTGACCTCAAGAGCTGCTTATACAATATATCGATACTGTGGTTAGACAGATTTTGCTTGAATATGGTATTGGTGATTTTCAGATTCTTAAAAGTGATTATGGAGGCAAGAGACAAATTTTCTTATTGATTACATTGTACTTTGCCATGAAATATCAGAAACGTAAATTCACAAATGCTGAACCTGATCATTTCTATTAGTGACTAGACCCAAGAGCTCACTGTATTACAGCAAAAATCAGCATTTTAACAATGTTCATCTTAACTGCTCCCATCTGTATTAAATATTGACAAATCGTATGTTATGATGTAGAGGTGGGGACTCGAGTCAGACTTGAGTCACTATTAACACTTTAACACTTGAGACTTGACTTGATAAAATTGACTAAGACTTGGGACTTGGGATTTTTTTTTAGAAAATACTTATCTCTTTTCAGTTGATACATGCAGTGCTTAATTTCACAAGAACAAACTGAAGCATGTCACTCCCACTTCTCTATTTGTTACTTTGGATCTAACTGAAGTACTGTGATGCGGTATCGTCAAAAGTACTACAGTAATATAAAGTACAATACAGTAAAACAGAGAAAACTAAATTAAACATGATCCTTCCATTTCAGACACATGATAAAATAACTCAAACTTAAATTTAGCACTGAAAATCTGAATTCTTTCTATTCTCACCACAATGATTCACACTAAGATCTTGACAAGACATTTAAAAAGGAAAAATTAACATTTCTACAACTCTTATATAAATACTCACATATGAATATACCATGACTGTTTAAGTGCAGTTTAGTTTAAAATCCATATAAATTGCAAAAATCTAAGCTATACTTTGGTTTAAAGACTTGAAGCTCAAAGCAGACGACTTGGACTTGGCACAGTGACCCGAGACACAACTTGGACTTTCCTGTCTTTGACCTCCGATTTGACTCGGACTTGAGGTCAAAGACTTGAGACAAAACAACGACTTGGTCCCACCTCTGTTATGATGCCGTATGAATTCTTTCAATATGGTCTCTCATTTTAGTTTCATATTTTTCAGGTGATCGAGGGGAAAGCAGCGACAGCCACAGAAACAATGAAAACCGAACCGGACTGCAAAACAAGAGGTGCCCACTGCAATACATTTATTATTATTAGGAAATGATCACACTCTACAAGGCTATTTCTTGGCCAAATCTGATATTCTTCATGGGGTTTTGAATAGCAGAACATGTAGCAGCATACCACACTTTTAACATCATTTCCTATTTCTGCGGTTCAAGGTTTCCGTTCATTCTAATAGAGCAGAGTTTGTTATTGTCACATTGTATTTTAGCTCAAGGGTTAAGTGTAGAAAAGGTACCTTCCTTGGCTTGTGACCACAGTAACTTATGTAAGGCCATATGTCATTTCACTGCAAATATTAAGTGTAAATAGAATTCCTGTTTAAGGATATTGTTTTATGCATTGATTATCTGTTTAAGTTATATTGACAGAGTTTTGAGACACATTAACTTGGATAAAAATGGGAGAGTTTATATGGCACTATAATTATTTACCTTTTGGGTTTTTTTAAGGTCTTGTATTACATTATATAATGTTTTTACCTCATCAAAAACACACCTGGAGTTGTGTTTTGTTTTGTTCTCACATGTTTGAGTAATCATTTAGCATGTTTGTATAGTTTGTCTACATCTCCAAAGCTCAAAATGCTCTGTTCCACCTGGTGATGTCATAAAGCTTGGCAATTTCAGGGCTGAAATTATCCAAAAGTGAAGTTGTATGGAGTTTAAAAACACAGTGTAACACTTCCTGTATGACAACAAAATGCAAAACAATGGAGTGTGTTTCTGTTTGAGAGAAAGAGTTTTTGTGTCTGTTTATTTTGTAACAAAATTCTCATTAGGCTATTATATTATTTCTGAACGTATGCACCTTTTGTTTAAAAGAGACGACAATAAATGCACTGACATGGTATTTTAAAATGGAAATGGTAAAAAGGAAAAAAGTCAAACATGGAAAAAAATGTTGTCAGTGAAAAAAGAGTGGGAACACTGATAGATCAGAAATTACCATAATATTGGTCCTTTCACTGTAAGGCTTTTTTTTTTTTTCTGGTAGATTTTGTGTCTTCTAACAGCTGAACACTGTCACTTTATTAAAACTGAAGAAACTGCTTTCTCACTGTAATTGGTCTCTCAGGGCGGGAGCAGTGTAAAGTCCTGTTCCCGTATGAAGCACAAAATGAGGACGAGCTGTCAATCAAAGAGGGCGAAGTCATCAACATCATCACCAAGGTAACAACATCGGCGCCACAGTAAACATTAAAATCTCATTAAAAACATAATCGCCGCAGAAACATTGCCATTATCACCACAGCAACCCTCACCAACATCATCACCACTGTAATATCCTTGACACTGTAGTAATAGTTTTATTTGCTCATTTTGCAGCACTATAAAACAAAACAAAACAAAACATAGACTAAAATCCCATGGATCATGACCAAAAGAGTTTAGGCTGAAGTAAAAAGTACTTATAACGCCAAACCCTATTAAACAACGAATTCCAAGAAAGAAAAGCAGCTTATGAACCAAGTTTGCATTTACAATTTCACTTACTACTTACTGTGAATATAAGAGACAAAATATAAATTAAAACAAACAAAATTTAAAGCATAATTCATTCCAGAGCTTTATTTCTTTTTAAACAACGCTTTATACTGTTTTTTTAAAGGCTTCTACAGTGTTAGACTTTTGTAAAATCATCACTCAGATTGTACTAACCCCTCAAATTCCCCATTTTAAAGAAATTCTTTAAAGTTGTATCGTGTAACTTTTCTTGTGGAGGGTCTGTCAAATGCTTTTCTCTGTGGAGATGTTATTGCTTTGTCTGAAATGTTCCACAGTATGGCATTAAACTTATCTATCCTACATTAATTCAATTACATGTATTTTATTGCTCAGAAATGCTTTCAAAAACGTAAGCAAGATCGATTCTCCACAGATCTCGGCCGTAACATGACCTGGTGGCGTCGCCTAATTCTCTCCACGGAGATAGATACGTTTAATGCCGTACTGTGGAACATTCCAGGCATCTCAATGAACACAGATGGCGGATCCTCCAGCAGAAAAGTTACACATTTCACCTTTAAACAATCTTTGTATATGATTTTGTAATATTAAAATGGCAGTTTTTTTTAGACCATTTTTTTGGCAATTTTCATTTCGGTGCGTGTCTTATAAGTACATATTGTGTTTGAATAATAACTAGTATTTCTGTTGTAACATTAAATAAGAATATACGACTTAAAATGATTAGTGTTATATTTGCCCCGTTTACATGAGAGCTTTAATTAAAAATAATTTAATTTGGAATCAAAATTAATTCCACTTTAAAAAGACCATGTAAACACTTAATTCCTAATGATTATTTGGAATTAAACTTAAATCCGAATTAAGTGGGTGGTTTATTCCAGTTTTAAAGCCGAATTAATTTATTCTGCGATCATGTAAACGTTTTTTCTGCTTAAAAAATAATTCCGGTGTGTTTTTTTTCCTGGTAGACGTAAATATGTTTGTGTCCCTGTCCAATCAGAACCCTTCCCCACCCCCAGATATTGAGCAGAATTAAATAAAGCTAATTTAACGTGTTTCACATGTTTGGAATAAAAAATAAATAAAACAAAAAAACATAATGTAAACGTGAGCATTGTCTAAGCCAAAATATAATGTACAAATTCCCACTATATTTAGCAATATGATCCCATATATAAACTACCATTATCACCATAGCAACATCACCCTCACCCACATCACCGCAGTAACAGTATCCTTGACATCATCCCCATAGTTCCAGTATAATCACATTATTAATGACTTCATCGCCATGGGGACCTCACCATTACCAGCTTCACCATGGTAACAACATCACTGACATCTTCACAGTTGTACCACATTTATTACATCATCCAACAAGGAAAATCTGCTATGTATTTCTACTATATACCAGGACTATACCAAAACTGGTTCTAAAGAAAGACAGAAATGGGACTATGTGGGTTAAATGTACAGCTAGGACAAAGACAGACACTGCAGACATAAAATTTTTACTTTTATAAGAAATATCTAAAAGGAAAATTCACAAATATTGAACCTGGTGATTTCTATTAACGACTTGACGTTAGAACTTGCTCTATTCCAACAAATATCTGAAGTTTAACAATATTTATTCCAGCTGTATTAAAGGAGCACTGTGTAACTTTTTTGGTTTTGGGTCCATCACCTGCTTGTTTCTATGGATATGTCATTTCTTTGCCTGGAATGTTCCACAGTATGACATTAAACATCTCTATTTTTCTGTAATTTATCCAATTATAGGTGGTTTTATAGCTTTAAAACCACCTAAAAACAGGGACTCTGGCTCTTATTTCATCTGGTTTGGTCTCCATGGAGATAGAAAGGTTTAATGCCATACTGTGAAACATTCTAGACAAAGCAATGACATCTCAGTGGAGAAAAGCATGTGACGGACCCTGTACTAAAAAGTTATGGAGCAATATAAGTAGATTATCCTAAAAACTCCAGCAAAAAACATCAAAAGTTAAATGTGTACCTGTAGAAGTACCACTCAAAGTACTTCTACCACAGACTGAGAATCCTAGCTCAACTTCAATCCCCTGCAGTCTGTGTGTGTAGCATATGGTGATGTGTGGCCAGCTGTATTTGTTTGTGGGAAAGCTAGTTTTGCAAATCAGGGCTCCCTTAAACTCCACTTAAGTCCATTTAATCTGTTTAAACGTGTTTCTGTGCAGGAGTGTGCCGACGCGGGCTGGTGGATGGGAGAGATCGGAGGAAGACAAGGAGTTTTTCCAGATAATTTTGTGAAGCTGCTAGTGCCAGAAGTAGAGAAAGAGGTAATATTTTTCACCTTGTTTATTACTTATAATATAACATGCTGTCATTTTAAAGGAATATATCTGTATTCTTTAAAAGTGTGTTGTGTAACTTTTCCGGTGGAGGGTCTGCTTGTCTCCATGGAGATAATATTGAATGTTCCACAGTATGGCATTAAACTTTTCTATCCTCCATTTATTCAGTTACATGTACCGTATTTTTCAGACTATAAGTCGCTCTGTAGTATAAGTCAAACCAGCCAAAAAATGCATAATGAAGAAGAAAAAAACATATAGAAGTTGCACTTTTGGGGGGAATTTTATTTTATAAAATCAGAGAAGTGACATTTCATCTGGAAAGTCAAGTTATAGTGTTAATAGAAAAGAGAACAACAGGCTGTTAACGTCACATATGAACAGTTCTTCGGATAACTATAGCATAAATAACAGAACAAGTTTACCAAACATCTCACTCCAAATCACTAAATCCGTTGAATTTTTCATCCTCAGTGTCATTTCTGAGCAACTCCGCATCCTACGGAGATAAACAGACACTTCCTCTTCTGAGTAGCTGTCGTCAGACTCAGCATTAGTTCCAGTTAGAATTATTCCGGCCTTTCTGTATCCCGACAGGATGGTTTCAGTTGTCTTTATGTTTGTTTAAATTTTAAATTGTCAGTGATACAGAAGTAACGATGCAGTCGACTGACTTGATACCACCCAAACCATGAAAAAAGTGCAACTTATAGTCTGAAAAATACGGTATTGCTCAGAAATGCCTTGAAAAACATTAGTAGGATCCATTCTCCATCAGATCCAAATGCATCTCAGTGAAGACTGATGGTGGATCCTCCAGCAGAAAAGTTACACATAGCACCTTTAAACAATATGATTTTGTAAAATTTCATCTTTTTTTTTAGACAACACTATTTGGCAATTTGCATTTGTGTGTGTGACTTACAAGTACATTTTGTATTTGACTAATAATAACTAGTATTTCTGTTCATTTTAAAATGTGTATTACATCATCTAAGCCAAAATATAATGTTCAAAATACCACTATATTTTCCCAGTATGATCTCATTAATATTTTTACAGTCTAAACTAAGCTTCTTTAATACACTGATCTGCCTAAATAGGAAATGATTCACTGCCTATGCGTGTGTATGTGTGTATGTCAGTTAGCTGGAAGAAAACATCGCTGAATCACCCAGTAACTAGGCTACTTGCATAATATTTACCATAATTTACTGTTAAAGGTGCACCATGTAACATTTCTAGTGGAAAATGGAAGTGGAAATGGAAATGTTATTCCTCTGCCTAAAATGTTCCACGATATAGATTCATAGCACAAAGGAGACAAGCAGATTGCAGCTCTACGGCACGTTACAATTCAGATCTGTGGAGAGTCATCCCATATAATAAATGCTAGATGGAAATGTTTAAAATTATACCATTGAACATTCCAGGCCAAGCAATAATGTCTCCATTGAGATAAACGAGTAGCACAGTGCACCTTTAACGTCAATAAAAGTCTACAACCTCCAAATCATTACTGAAACAAATCAGAGTGCTGCACAGGTCGATTTTTGGAGACCCACAGCCGCTCACACCCGTCCGTTAACCTCTGATTATATCAAAGTTAAATCCGCACCCTCCCAGACCTGTTAACATTCCACCTGTTACCCTGCCCATGCCCGTGATAAATCAGGGTCAGCCCATTAGTCCGACAGCCCAATAGTCCAGAACTAAACCAGGACTAAACCAAGACTGAACCTACGCTGTGTCATTAACGGATTATAAATATATACACGCCACAAACCGCAGACCCGATTGCCAGGACTACAACAGGACTGGACCAGGACCTAACCAGGACTTATCCAGGACTTAACCAGGACTTAACCAGGACTTAACCAGGACTTAACCAGTATCATTAGCATAAATATATACACGTCGCAACCGCAGAGCCAACCGCCAGGACTACGCCAGGACTTAACCAGGTCTAAACCACGAGTGCAGCCACCAAGCCGATCATCTCCGCTGATGGTTGTATGTAGTAAATACGGTAAAGTCTCTCTCAACCTGCTCTGCCATCGTTCTGGGAAAACACCGGGAAATGGCTCTTGTTTCCAGGGCAATGGATTTATTTTTCTCCAGTTCATCGTTCATTTGATTCTCCTGACCCACCCGTGTGTAATCACTACTCGCCCGCAAACACGCCCGTAAATTTCAAAAATCTTAAAACCCGCCCGTTTCAGCAACTATTTGCAGGTGCAGGACTCTGAAACAGGTTGAGTGCACCAAGTACGACAATATGGAAATGATGTATTTTAGAATGAAGATACAACTACATTATTTTCTGAAATCTGAATATTTTGTGTTTTCAGAGACCAAAGAAACCACCTCCTCCCAGCGCTCCCTCGTCTAAACACAACACAGGTAAAACACTGGCTTTTCTTCTTCTCTCAAACAAATCAAAACAAAACCCCAAAACCCTGTGACCTTTGACCTTTAGAGAAAAAGTCAGAGCTAAGGAAGGTCCCTCCTGAGCGCCCCGAACACCTCCCACTCAGAGACCAGGACAGAGGTACAGTCTAGACCTGGTCCTGCTCTAGACCACTTCAATCTGCAACTTCGCTCTGGCTTCTTATTAGGGATGTAACAGTAACTAAAATATCGTGATAAATATCGTCAAAAGTCTCATAATGATATCGTGGGCCATTACAATATATATCGAATCACAAGTTTTAGATTAAATTAATAGTTATGATGCAGCAATAGATAAAAAAAACTGAGGGAACTACATAGACCATGATCCTTTGCTTTGTAACTGTTATAAGAGCTTTTAAATCTGTCGAGGGAATTGTTGCATATTCACAATTTGGTTGGCCTCTACAAAATATTGGAATAAATATCGTACCGTGAGGTGTAGGGGCGTGCAAAAATATTGAAATATTGATATATATCATTTAATGTGATGATACAGTATCGGTATTATGGGCTGCTGTAGCAATTTGTCACCAAGAGTATTTTTTGGTATATTTTACAAAATTATTTTGTTACAGTGCTACAGTTTTGTTGCTTGTTTAGAGGAAGGAAACTCGAATATGCAACACATTGGACATTTTCACAATTTTGATGATTAACATGTTTGTGTTTCATATGAACTTTGCACAAGAAGTGGTTTAACAAAGACTTTTAGTATCACAGCCATGATTTAGTCTTAATTTTTTATTGAAGCATACCGAATCATTTTGAAATATATATCGTATCAAATCGAAAGTGCGCTGTATCGAGATATGTATCGCATTGTGGCCTATGTATCGAGGTATGTATCGTATCGGCAACATCTTAATGATACCCAGCCCTAGTGAGATGCATATCGTGAAATTCGTATCGAGAAATTTGGATATTGTTACATCCCTACTTCTTACTATGCTACTATATTATAACTCTATTTCTCTCTCCTCTCATTACTTTAATCAATTAATCAATAAATAAAACTTTTCTTTTTTTTAATTCAGTGGTTTTCAAATTGTCCACATACAAATTGTACTACATAAGATGGTTTGTTGTCCAGATACAACTTTAATCTACTTTATGACAATATCTCTGCCACTTCTCTTTCCTCATGAAAGACAGATTCATGACAGATCCTCATTTAAAGGTGCATGGTGTAACTTTTCTGGTGGAGTCTATGTAGGCTTTTACAGATATCAGTCTTACAGGCTAAAAATACCTTGAAAAACATCCTTATTGTAAGCGTCGCCTTTTCACAAATCTCTACCAATAAAGCTTCACAGTCCACCTTAGTATAACTGTTTCTATTAAAAACTTTTGTGGATTTAAAGCTTTTGTGCAACTTCTAAGCATTTCATTTTCAATTATTTTTCACAGTTTAACCGTCTGAAGAAAACAAGTCAGTATTTTACAAGGCAGAAAGAACAGTGGCGCTTTTTGTAATGATAAATCTTGCAAAAATGGGCGCACAGTTTGAAGACTTGCTGTGATAATTAGTCTGAGACTATAGACAGCGCTTCAAGTTTTCAACATTTAACGATTATTTTCAAGCCAACTACTTGATACCAGTTTAATGATGAGAAAACTGCGTGGTTGTTTACACATCCTAATGCTGCAACACTGGAGACAAACCAATGAGAAATAGCTGTTTAATTATGTTTGATCTGGTGTATAAACATTACAAACTTCGAAATCCACAGATAAAAAAAAATAAATTGCATGATGGGGGATTTTATAACATTATATAACGTTTAATAACAAGAAAAGGCTTGATACTCCATACCATTTTCAGTACCACAATGTAATAAAAACACTTTTTGTACACATTAGAATAACATTTTCTCATCAAAGTAGGGTTACCTTTTAATAATATCTTGTGGTCTTTTTTTCAGTATTGATACTTAAAATGAATCTAGAGTTGATACTAGTTTTAGTATCAGTAGCTTAGTATCAATTTCATTCGCTTCGTTTTTCCTAACCCTAACCTCTGTATTAACCTTTCCTTTATCTTGCCCTAACCAGCAACACAATCCTCTGTTTTCATTCTACTTTTGTTAATGACCTTTTCCATTTTTGGTTTTGTTGTGTTGTTTTGTCTAACCCTGTATGTGTCTGTGTGTGTGTGTGTGTGTGTGTGTGTGTGCATGGACAGGTGAAGATCTGAAGCCTGGAGACATCCCTAAACCCACTCTTCCATCTGTGTTACCCAAGAAACCTCTGCCCCCCAAAACCACCAACTCCTCCTCCTCCCATCCTCCGAAACGCCCTGAAAGACCACCCACACTATCGTCAGTACATTTGTAAATATACACATAAAAATAAACGTTTATAGAGATCTAAGTTAAGCTAAATGTTGTCGTATTGGTCTACCTGCTCAGGTGTGAAAGCCCCAAAACTGAGTGCAGATCTACGACCCCAGACTCCGCCCCTGATAGGTCACAAGACGCCGGTGAGCAACCAATCAGAGCAGGGCTTACTGAACTGTTGATTTGAATTATTTATTGTAACGATTTACGTGTATTGAACTACAAGGATGGTGTATAGAAAGCAGTGCACAATATTTAACATTCAACTCAGTGTTTATCAATTATTTACCAATCTCCATATTCAGAGGTGACTTAAAGGTGCACTGTGTAACATTTCTAGCGGAGGAATCGCCATCTGCTTGTCCAATCCAACTTTATTTGTGTAGCACATTTTATAAACAAGACTGTAATGTACTGAATGTAAAACGATTTACTTTTTTTTTAAAAATCTGCAGAATTATGTTCCAACCATGAGAAAAATAATAGAATCAATAAATAAAATAATAATAATAAAATTAATGAAAAAAATAAAATAAAAGCAATACATAAAAGCAGTACTAAAAAATAAAATGAATTAAATAAATAAATAAAAGACACAGAGAACCACACAACTCTCGAGGTATTAAAAGCCAGAGAATAAGACGAGACTTAAAACTGTCCACTGTGGGGGCCATGGAAATATTATTGCTTTGTCTCGAATGTCCCACAGTATAGATTAAACCTATCTATTGTAAACTACGCTACATTACAGTTCAGATCTGTGGAGAGTCTCTCCTTTTCACAGAAGGAATTGTTGTATTTTTGAGCATATAGAAACACCTATAATTAATAAGTGCTACATGGATGCTTAATTTCATACCATGGAATGTGCCAAGAACCTGAAAAGTTATTTGTATATTGTTTTTATTGATTTTAGTTATTTATTTCCATTTTGTGGGTGTGCTTTTATTTGACTTTACTGCACTTTGGAAACTGTTTCGTTTAGAATATATTAAAGAGCTTATATCTGGAGCCTTTCCTCCTTTCCTGCTGCACATAAACAGATTCTGATTTTTTTTTTTAAAATTCCTCCTCTGAGTATACTGCCTCCGCTTCTGAATTTAATATCATAAAAAATATCATTGTTGACACTTTTTTTTTTTTTAACTAGAAAAGGGATAAGACAAAAAAAAGTTTTAAAAGTGCACTACTTGGAGTCAATTTTATCCAGACTTTTATGCAAATTTTTCTCTTTCTCTAAATAGCTCATTGTTTATAAGCTCTGAAACAATTATGCATTCTTATTTTAGAAACTTTGGAAACGGTTTTGTTTAGAAAATGTGCAATAGAAATAAAGTGGATTTGGATTTTACACAGTGCACAATTTGCTTTTGTATTAGTCCGTGTTTGGTAGCAGGCACACATTGTATCTTATTTTAAATATGCTAATAATAATTGAGTGTTTATATTATGTGTATTTTGTATTATGTGTTTTTACAGATATGGATTTAGATGCAGTAATCTCTTCTACAGAGAAACTTAGTCACCCGACGGCGTCGCGTCCTCGAGTCACAGACAGGAGACCAAGGTCCCAAATCTTTTCACAAGTGAGTAACAGCAGTCTGACCTAAAAATGTGGCATGAGACATAACACAAGACACTGATTCTTAAAGGAGCTATGTCTGGAGTCTTTCTTCCTGTACATAAACAGAATGTGATAAAATGTCCTCCTTTGAGTATACTCACTGTCTCGCCTCTGCTTCTGAATTTAATATTATAAAAATATATTATTGTTGACACATTTTTTATATACAGAAAAGAGCTAAAAATAAAAACAAAACGCTTTAAAGGTGCACTGTGTTTGTTGTATTGCTCAAAAATACCTGAAAAAAAAAAGAATTCTTACATGTGCAGGCTTGCTTCTCCATAGATCTGATCATTAACCTGTCTCCTTTGTGATTAAAAGTGGCAAAACAGTCATATCTCCATGGAGGCTTGCAGGTGCATGACAATTCTCTAAGCTTGTGCCTTTTTGTTTTGTTTTTTGTTTTGTTGCAGTCTTCCCTTTCTGCGATAGAGCTTTTGGATGCTGCAGACGACAGAAAAGACAAAGACAGAGGAAAAGAAGAGCCTGAGCCTGTGATTATGAGGAAAACAGCCCCCTCCAACTCAGTAAGACGCAGTGTAACACTCACGCCCAACCAGCAGGGGGAGACACAACATAGACTATTATATAAACACACGTTTTCACATGTATCTTGGTTTGAAGTTTGGTTTTGTTTGCCCACTCCAACTCAGTACAACACACTGCAACGCTCACACCGCACCAGCAGGGGGAGACACAACATAGACTTAGACTAAAACAGACTTCAGTGTTCCAAAAGGGAAAATTACTTAACTATTATACACACAATATTTCACATGTATCTTGGCTTGAAGTTTGGATTTGTTTGCCCCCCCAAACTCAGTACCACACACTGCCACGCTCACACCCCACCAGCAGGGGGAGACACAACATAGACTATTATACACACAGTATTTCACATGTATCTTGGCTTGAAGTTTGGTTTTGTTTTCCCCAGAAATACTTGCAATAACTACTACTAATGAAATTTTATGTTTATTTATTTATTGTCATAAAAATGTTTATGTTTGTTGAAAACCATTGTCTCGTTCAGTGTTCACAGTTACAAATGCAAGATGTTAATAGTAATTTAACTAATTTAACTGATCTGGTGAGAAAGATTTTTTAAAAGTAAAAGAAAAACTGCACATAAAAAGAGGTAAATAGGCAGCAGCTACTACTGTAGTATAAACAAATAACTCCACTGCTCCCTAATACTACTGATGCCCATACAAAGGTTTCATATACTGTTATAGAATTTATACAAATACATTTACTGCATAGTTGCCAAGCTTAAAGGTTCACTCTGTAACTTTTCTGGTGGAATTTGCCACTTGCCACTTGTCTATCACAAGGGAGACAACCAAGTTACAACATTATGTTTCATTACAGTTCACATCTGTGGAGAGGCGCCCCTATTCACACAAGGAATTATTGTATTTTTGAGCAATAGAAACACCCATAATGAATAAATGGTACATGGATATGTTTAAAGTCATACCGTGGAACATTACAGGCAAAGACAAGCAGGTGATGAACCCTCCACCAGAAAAATTGAGCAGTACACCTTTAAAGTGCCCTGTGTAACTTTTCTGGTAGAGGGTTCATCACTTTCTTGTCTCCATGGAGATGTTATTGTTTTGTCTGGGATGTTCCACATTGCACTGAGCATATGTATCTCCATGGAGACAAGCAGGTGACACCATACAGGTCATATCTGTGGAGCTATAGCGTCTCCATCGAAAAAAGCGTACTAATAAAAAAGTTACACAGTGCACCTTTAATTTTATTGTAATTGTAATTTAAACATATTGTGCCTTTGTTTACACAGGTAGCTGAGAGTAAAGCGCCTCTCCCGGTCAAACCTTCGTCTTTAAATCCTCCCAACGCTGTGCTTCGTCCCATCTCTCCTTCCTCCTCGTCCGGTCTAAGCCCCTCCCCCGAGCTCCGGCACTCCCCCATGACCCCGCCCAGTTTAGAGGAGCTCCGCAGCCAACTGAGAGACCTGAGGGCGTCTGTGGAGATACTCAAGACCCAGCACAGGTTTGGACACATCAATAAGCTCATTCATTCGAGGGGGAATGGAGGAAATATGTTTTAGATTTTGAGGTGTTTGATTCATTTGGAGTCAATTTTATCCAGATTTTTCTCTTTTCTGTAAATGACTCCTTGTTTATAAGTTGTGAAACAATGATGCAGTCTTATTTTAGGTCTGGTTTAGCCCTGGTGGAATCATCCTGGTAGATGCGGTGGTACTTTGTGTTAAAAGTTTAACAACCACTGTTTTATAGTGTTTGCGATTATGGGTTTTTATCATGTTTTCTACCTCAGAGCTCTGTAGACTGCTCTTAATAATACAAAGGATGTTAGAAAAGTATGTGTAGTGATGCTTTTGTTATTATTATAATATAATATGATTAAAAATGTTTAAGGTTTTGGGCATGGCATGTCCCTGGTGTGTTTGGAGAATTTGTATAAGAAGGTTACAAGATATGACGTGAAATATGAAGCAAACCAAGTGTAGTGACCTACAACTACACTGAGCTGCTGATTAAACAACAGGCTAAGAAACTTGGATGGACCACACCTGTTAAGAGTTTATATGCTAAAGGTGACAGTCCGACGGCGGATATTTATGGTGCAAATCTCTACAATCGCACATCCAAACAGCTCATCGCACCAAAGTACAGTTGAAGGGGCGGTGGAGGCACCTTCAGAATCAGCGGTCTCTCTCAGGTTTAGGGAGGTCTGCAGGTGGAGCAGAGGGTGAGCTTCTTGATGGCTGTAGCTCCATCTTGGTGTGTACTGGAGTGTACAGCAAAGAGCAGGAGGAGCTACCATGAGACCCTTCAGAAACACTGAGAGAATAGAGGATCTTTCATGGCCACAGAGACTTCCGCTTTGACCCCGACATTTTGCAGCCTTCTTTTGTGGTTGATAATGTCAAAGGGGCCATGGAAGTCTTGTTTCAACAGGAAGGCAGGCCTCTGGAGTACCATCTTTAGTCTGTTTAGTTGCATTTTTAATCAGAATTTTGTTCAGTTCTGTCATGAAGTCAGTTGTAGTGTGAGATTATAACAAGACAGTAGCTCAGTTGGTGTTTAGTGTTTAGTGTCTGCGTACACAGGTGTATGAATGTGCATGTGAACGGGTTTGTGCCTAAACGGTGGAAAAGCGCTATACAAACATTTGACCGATGTGACTGACAAGGTTTTGGTTCTTGGCTTTTTATCAAATTCAGAGCTTTGTGTGTGTGTGTATTACAGACAGGAGATGAAGCAGTTGGCCACCTCTCTGGACGAGGAGAAGAGGATTCGTATTAGTTTACAGGTAAGAAATGCACACAGAAAAATGCAACTTATGAAAATAAATGGTTTTGTTTTACATTTTTCAGTCTATTCATTCATAATTTCCAATGGTGTATTTAGTTATTAATACCAGGGAGTATTGTAGTGTTAAGTTCACAAAAACGCAGAGACAAAATCCTCTATATCTATAGGATGATTGTACCCAACTACAACAAATAAATCCTGACTTGACCACCATTTTAAAGTTTATTCAAAGTTGACATTGCATACAGTGTATAAACCAAATAATTGTTGTTCATTTGTTTCAGATGGAGGTAGAGCACATAAAGAAGAGCCTGTTGAAATGAACCTAGATTTTCCTGTTTGTCACATCAGACACTCCTCGTCAGCCAAAATCAACTCCAGCCAAAATCTCAGTTTGTGCCAAATCTTCATTGACTCCTCCTCCTCTTCTTCCTCCTCCTCTTTCTTTGTCACACCTGCCCCAAAAACGCCTTATCCTGAGTTAAAATGCTTTGTTATGTTTACTGCTACTTACCATGAAAGCTGCCAATGCAATAGTCACACTGTCTCAATCGTTACGTGTATGCAGAGGTGGAAAATATTGGGAAAAATAGTATTAGGTAGTAAATTTAACACTACAGGATTAAAATAACATGAAACATAAGATCTGAATTACAGCTGAGTTTGTTAAATTATTCATCTAAATGTGAAATCATGTCTGTACACCGATGATTTTTGTGTCTAAATGTGACCTTTGGCGTAATCTGTAATAGATTTTTATAAGAAGATTTACAAAATGCAGAAGATTTTTAGAGAAGATTGACAAAATACACCAATAGATAATGTGTTTTTAAGTGGTTTAAACCATAGACTGTATCAAGGCATGGACTAAGGGTGTGTGATCAGGCAAATGAAGCTCACTGAGGCACCCCGAGTTCTGTTCTCATATTAGGAATAGGAATTTATTTATGGACAAAATAGCGAAATAAAAACACCAGGATCATGTAGAGCGTGTTAATACGAACATTTTAAGGCCAAAATGACAAGGCTCACTGCAGTAGTTACAGAGAGAGGGGTGACGATTTTTCATTGTAAAGTCAATTGGAGCCAGAGTCAATGGAGCCGGAAGCGCCCCCATGCTCACTTCCTATTTGGAACGCGGCAGCTATCAAATTTCCAACGAACTTTCCATTCATATGTACAGTTTATGGTTTAAACACATCGGGGCGACAGTGGTGTTTAAAAAAAATGAGAGTATCAGTTCTTGCTTGGACCAAGATCTGTTGTTGTGTCCTTAGGCAAGACACTTCACCCACCTTGATTTGAACGAGTAATGACTACAGTGTATAGGGCCTAATTTAAATGGGATAAATCGCCTTCCAAAATATGTCAGGGTAAACCGTTTAAAAAGAAGAAGGCTTGTAATTTATGTTTTAAAGCAAAATTGTCAAAATTCAAAAACAGTATCAAGCTTAAATATACTGTAAATAACTGTTTGTGATTTTTTACTTCCACCTCTGCATAGGCTGACTGCATTTCCAGAGTTACAGTCCACCACAGAGCAATCTCGCTGGTACCATGTTAAATAAACTTTTTTTTTCTTTATTTTAATAATGTGAGATGGACCACTGTAGCCACGGGCGGTTCCAATGAGCTGTTCTGTGACCACTCTGAGGCCTTTGACTCTTAATATCCACCATCTGTGAAAGAAAGAAAGTGTATTTACTGTAGAGAGGCTTTGTTTACAAAATGCAAAAGTGGTTGAAATTTAATATTATATTTGCATTATTATTTTTATATACATTGCAAACTAGACACAAACCATCTGTTCATCAGTGGTTAAGATTTTCTTGTTAAATCAGCAAGACGAAGAAGATGTCAATATTGTAACTATTTATTTCAGCTTTTACTTTTGTATTTATTGTGTAAACTTGCTTTTGTGTCTTACAAGGATTGGGTCTTAATGAGGTAGTAAAATATAAAAAATTCATAATCTATTTAATTTTTACAAGACCATTATTTGACTTGCGAATCATGCAATTCAGTCTTGGAAAATGATACTCACTAATTAACTGTATCACAATATTAAAGGTGCATTGTGTAACTTTTCTGATAGAGGGTCCATCTTCTGCTTCCTGTTTCTACTGATATGTCATTTCTCTGCCTGGAATGTTCCACAGTGTGACATTAAACAGCTCTACTTTACATTTATTCAATTACAGCTGGTTTTATAGCTCAAAAATACCATTCTAACTGTGAGCGGCATTGCTTTTCCACAGATCTGACCTGTAACTTGGTCTGGTTTGGTCTCCATGAAGATAGAAAGGTTTAATAGTTAAATAGTTAAAAGTTACAGAATGCACCTTTAAATATGTATTCATTTTACCTTTCGATTACATACTACTTCATATAAACGTTCATAGATTTCTTAAAATTTTTCTATATTTCGATGCAATTATCAGGTCCAATTTCGACCACTTTTGCCTTTAGTGTGAACAAAGCCTGAACAGAATCTGAAAATAGAGACCTTCTGGAAGCAAGGACTTTATTTTTAACTTCAGTTTTAGTTTTACAGTGTGTATGAAGCACCACTGACGCACTGAGCCAATGTTCCCATGGTACACTGCAGGATGGTGAGTTCAGACAGCAACAATACTCTGTTCTTATAATGTCTTAATAGTTTGTTTTAATTGTATTTAATTGGCAGTCAAATATTGGACTTGATATTAGAGTTATTTTAAGGTTTACAAAAAGCACACACACAGAAGGATTATCCACTAATCTGGGTGCTAATGTAACAGGGTAGAAAACATTTTAACATGAATTATGGCGAAAATAAGTTATGCTTTTAATGCAATGAAATATGTTGGTTTAAGTAATTTATATAGAGCTTTACTTTTGCCTTAATGATTTCAGAATAGGTTTTGTTACAGTTTTAGATGCATTTTCAAAATCTCTTTTATTAGTTTAGTCAGCACTAGATTATGCCCAGGCTATGCAAAAGCTCTTCTTTTAGTTTAGGGACCTTGTTCAGAATCATATTTAGCCATTTGTAACATAACATGGTAACATAGATACAGTGCTCATAATGTGATGAAGTAAAAGGTGCACTATGTAACTTTCCTGGTGAAGGGTCTGCCATCTGCTTGTCTCCATAGAGATGTTATTGCTTTGTCTGGAAAACGCCATTAAACATATTTATGCACTGCAAATTTCTCTGATCTGGCCAAGATTATAAAACTTAAATCAGGTTTTTCATATTGTTTTCAGATTTATTATCTACTTACGAGACCAGAGACTGTTTAAGTTTAGTCTAGAGGTAGTTTATGTTAAGATAACTTGTCAAGTAAAATTATCCTCCTGCATGGACAGATGATTTCACTACTTTTAAATAATTTTCTGATAGATTTAAGTGTTTATATCTTACATTTTGGCCAAGCTTTTTCGCAGTGTGTGTTGTAATACTAAAAATACCTTGAGAACATGCAATCTCTCCATTTTTCTGTGCAGATGGGTAAGTGTAATGCCATACTATGGAACATTCCAGGCAAAGCAATAACATACAAGCAGGACTGTATACCTGAAAATACATAGTGCTCCTTTAAGTCTATAGTGAAAAAATACTGGCCCACTTCACTGAAGCTGCATTGTTCGTGTCTGCTTTTTCTAATTGGCAGTTGAGAGAGCTAACTACTATTGGGAATACATGAATGAACTTATTGATACATGCAGCAGGGTTCCTACGGTCATGGAAATCCTGGAAAAGTCATGGTATTTTGTAAATTCAATGAAAGTTATGGAAAAGTCATGGAATTTTAGCATCTCTTTCACGCAACTACAGCGTTCTGTTAAGTTGTCATTAGACTATTATGATTATTTCTGAACGACTGCGCCTTTTGTTTAAAAGAGACGACAAGAAATGCACTGACAGTATTTTAAAATATAATACCCAACCATAAGGTGAGTGAAAAGGGTTAACATTTCACATTTAGCCCTAACAGTATGATCAATTCTAAATGTAGGTGCTGTAAAGTCATGGAAAATTCACTTTAGGTCATGAAAAAGTCACTGAAAAGTTTTGAAATTTTGTCAGTGAAAAAGAGTGGGAACCCTGTTGCAGTGACATCACTTTCTACATGTATGTGTATGGCCAAATGTTCAACTGTTCCCATAGTATAGGGTAGCATAGATTTAGAAAATAAACAGAAGTGAAGAGAAACTAATAAACAAACCCAATTCTTACATTGTTTACATGATACAAACTTTCTCGCGTGATCTTGCATTCACATATTTTCAAACACCATCACTTTCTCTCTCTTCCAGTTCAGCACAGTTGATATTTGACTGCAAATTAAATCCCTACTTGAACACGTCTTATCAGCTCACTCGCGTCGTTTCATTGCCTTTATATTATTTGCATTTTTGCACCTCATATCCTGTCCCAAGATTGAACTGATGTCTTTGTCAACATAACTCTTTTTTGAACGTTGAACTTTACAACAATATTTCGCACAGGGTTTTAAAGGAATGTAGTCAGCAGAAGTTCCTGATATTTGAGTGTTTTATATCTGTGTATGCATGCATGTACTGAAGAGTGTATGGCTTCCTTTAATGTGCACACACGATCTATGGCAACTGTCACTGTGGCCTTCCTGTTTCCAATGATTTTAATTTCAAATTATTTTAATTTTGTGGTTTTGTTTTTTTATTTTCTTTTATATGACAACACAACACGAAAATAGTGCTACAAATGAGCTGCAAGATGACTTTTCTTCTTTCTTGAGTTGGTCCTTTCTCTCCAGGATAGTGAAATATATAAATAAATATATACTTTTATATTTCAGTGTAATAAAGATGCTATTATGTAACAGTATGCGTGGGTCTGTAATTTGTTAAAGAGTTGTTAGCGTAAACGTTTTCTGGATTAAAGGTGCATTATGTAAATTTTCTGATGAACAGTACGAGACCTGCTTGTTTACATAGAGTTTACATTACCTTGCCTGGATTATATCACATTAAACTAGCCTTTATGTTTCTTTTCATTGCTCAAACATGAATAAAACTTGAATTATTTCCATGAGTGGGCACGCCTCTCCATAGATCTGACCCATCTATCATTTGCTTGCTCCATGGAGATATGTTACACATTCCAGGCAAACCAATAAACATCTCCCTATGAGAAGTTTACTGAAAATTTACAACATGCACTTTTAATTAACAGGGTAGTGAAGATCTAAAGATGTAGACTTCATTTGGGCCTGTTCAAGTCCGGGTTTAGTTCTGTGTTTTTGTTCCAGTTTGGGTGCCATGCATGATGCCTTTTGCGTGACTGTCCATACCAGAAGTGAAAGTTATGACTGCTGTAGTGTCAACAAACCAGCAGGATATTGCACAATAAATAAATCACAAATCACTGCACAGTCAGCCTTTACTGCCTGGGAACATGTGCAAGTCATCATGTATCTGCATCATCTGTTTGCCTTCATGGAAAAGTTTAATGGCACACTGTGGAACTTTCTAGGGAAAGCAGTGTAGGGATGCACTGATCCAGGTTTTGTAGTTCTGATACCGTGTGTAGAATTCCTCAGTCGTCCAGGTAGAATCCATGGCAAAAGAAAAATTCAATTTGTCAACTGGACAAACGTTTCTTTAGGTCGAAAACGAAGCTCATCTAAGCTGCTTCTTCAGTTCTGAAAACAGATGCAGCTTGGATGAGCTGCAAATGTTGAATTGGATTTCACCTTTGCCACACTTCTGATATATCAAAACTGAGACTGAAACTATAATTTATTTCATGGAAAAGGAGAAATTGAAACGAGCATGCTGCAAACTCTCCACAAGAAAAGTTATATAGTGCACTTTTAAGATAATAAACTGCAACTGTAACCTATGTTTTTATGAGACACATCATGCCGTTCCTCACTGGTTTTCTCATGGGTTATATGATTTGCCGTCATTTAATCGCTTGTTGATGTGGATGGCCTTATTTACAAAGTGGGCGAGTAACACGGATATCTTTTACATAACTTATTTAGCAGGTGTAAATGGACTGGTCAGCTGTAAACTGTTTCCAATTGGCTGGGACAGTTTTTCACAAGATCACATGTCCAGTACCACTTAAGCACCAGTTAAAATAGATAGGAATTATGCTATTAAAGTACTTTAGCCTATAGGCCTATGGAAAAGGTGTATAGTGTTATATTTATTTTTGTCTTAATGGTGCACTGTGTAACTTTTTGGTAGAGGGTTTACCACTTGCTAGTTAATGTTTTTTCTCCAGAATGTTCAACAGATCTCCGTGGAGACAAGCAGGCCAAATCACAATGCCAAGTTACTGGTTAGATCTGTGGAGAAGTGGGCCTATTCACTGTAATAATGCATGTTTTTACTGTAGTTTTGAGAAATAAAAAACTCATGCTGTGGAACATCTCAGGCAAAGGAAGGAACAATATCTCATGAAGACAAGCTGATGGCAGACCCTCCTTCAGAAAAGTTGCACAGTGCACCTTTAAACACTGCAAAAAACTAAAATCTAGTCAAGTTAAGATGACTTGAATTAAGACGTTTTATTATGATTTGAGTATATTTCAGTTTACAGGTAAAATTATCTGCCAATGGAACAAGACTTTTTGTACTTAAAATATGAAAATACATCTTTAGATCTTTGCAACACAAGAAATAAAATGTAATGTTGCTTGAATTAAGAAAAACACACTTATTCCAGTGGTGTGATTTTTCTTGTCAAGCTGAATCTACTCAAATAAAGTTAAATGTTCTTAATTTGAGTCATTTTACCTTACCTAGGTATTGCTTTTTGCAGTGAAGTGATTGAACGATTGTTTGTGTGATCGAATAGGAAGTTCCGAAAACCCAGTGGGGAGCGTGTGTCCAGTTTATTGATGCCAGAAGGACATGCTGTTTTATATTTAGACAGAGTCACTGTGGATAGATAACGTTTCAGAGGGGAGCGTGCCCACCGCCCAGAACACTGAGCTCCAGCAGCAGTCCAGACACCAGCCAGTAGCACATATCTGAGGATTTAGACCATGCAATAATACCAAAACTGTTAGCATATGTTAATTAATGAGAGCTTGTGTTTGGACCCATAAAGGTGCACGGTGTAACTTTTCTAGTAGAGGCCTCGTATCCATGGAGGTGTTAATGATCTACAATACAGCATTAAACGTATCTAACTCCATAGAAACAAGCTGATGCCACCAGATCATGTTGGAGGTGGTGACTTCGCTCTCTAAGAAGAATGTGATGTATTTAGTAATTTGAACACATCTAATTGAATAAATGCATGATAGATTTGTTTCATGTCACACTGTGTAACATTTCGCAGCAAAGCAATTACATCTCCATGGATACAACAAGCAATAAGCAGACCCCACACTCCAAGGTTGCACAGTGCACCTTTAAAATCAGTTTTGAGTTAGGACCAAAATAAAGAAATGCTATAAAGGCAGTAGCTCTAGGGGAATCAGAGCACCTTCTAACTCCAATTTATTTAGGCCTAACCTTAATAAATTAGAGTTACAAAGTGCTCTGATTCCCCTAGAGAATCCTTCATCATTCAGAGTTTATATTTAGCCCATTTAAAAGTGCATTGTGTAACTTCTTTGGTGGAGGGTCCTTCAAATGCTTTTCTCCATGGAGATGTTAATGTTTTGTCTGGCAAGTTTCGCAATATGGTATTAAACCTTCCTATTTTTAATTAAGGAGACCAAACCAGACGAAGTTACAGGTCAGGTCTGTGGAGCGGCAACCCACGCTCAGAGTCAGAATGTTTGTTTTTCTAGGTATTTTTGAGCTATAAACCCCCCATGTAATTTAATAAATGCAAGGTAGACCCGTTTAATGCTATGCTGTGGAACATTCAAAGCAGAGCAATGACTTATCAATAAAAACAAGCAGGTGACGAACCCCCAACCTAAAAGTTACATAGTGCACTTTTAATATCCTATTTGGTCCAAAAATCACCCTCAAATCTATATTTAAAAAAAAAACAAAAAAACATCTGGCCTATTTAATTACACTACGCCTTTCGTTGTTTGCTGCTAAGAATTATGGGTAATTTAGCCTAATCAACTTAAACGCAGAAGGAAGCTACAAAATCCTTTTTAACTTCCCAGAAAATCACATTAAACTGTTCACTTTATGTTATAATGTCATTTTGAGACCATATATCATGTAATGTTTGCTAAAACTATTTAACAACTATAAATTATGGCTCTTGTCGTCGCTAAACATTAACAACTAGCTTTTAGTTAGCTATTAGTTAGCGCAGGTGAAACTGGTTGTTGCCATGGTAACGTCCCATCTGTGGACACTGAACTTTTTAACCTTTAACGTGTTTACATTTTAGTTTTTTGTTAAAATTAGGGTGACCAGAATAAAAAAAAAAATAATAATAATAAAATTGGGATATTCCTGGATTTTTTTTTTTTTTTTTTTTTTTTTTTTTTTTGCGGTAGTGCATAATTCGGCCCATTCATGACACGTGAGCCAGTATACATTTGACATTTTCTTCGTGTTTTGGTCGTTTATAAGCAACTTTTTTTTGTATTTTAATTAAACAAATGACAGTTTATGCCTCTTTTTACTGTTGGTAGGTATCAAATTGGTCAAAAATACGGACACCCGGGACATTTCTTGGGACAAATCAATGGTTTTGGGAACAAATCAATGGTAAATAGGGACGTCTGGTCACTCTACAATAAAAATTTAATTAATGGCTAACAATATTATGTCATAATGAAACTACAAAAAAGTGTGATGGATTGCTTAAAAAAATAAAAAAAATAATAAAAAATCAATATCTCGTAACCCATCTGGTCGGATCCAGTCTGGCAGCAGTGCGCTTTTTTGGTGCGAGATAATTGGCACATGATGTGGGTTAATGACGCGGAAATGCTGTCGGACAAACCCAGTCCTCTCCTCTCCTCCGCGTCCCAACTTCAGAATAAAGCAATAGGCGGGAGCGAGAGGAGCAGACCGGCCGTGCGAGCTTGCAACGAGCATGGATCCCGTGCAGAACTCGCAGGTATCGGACATGACAGGGGAGCACAACGCGGGACCATGCGCCGTGGACCGGGCCGACGTGTCCAGCCCGTGTCCCGCGATGGCCAAGCAGCGGTCCTTACGCGTGGTTTACGTCCTCAACGATGGGATGAAGTCGGCGATGGCGATCAGTCCCGAGTCCGGAGCGCTGCAGTGTCTCCAGCGGGCGTGCGACGCGGAGAGTGCCCTGCTCACCACGGTCGCGTTTGGGAGACTGGATTTTGGAGAGACGTCAGTGCTTGATAGTTTCTACGACGCAGGTTTGTGTGAAAACAGTACAGTAGTTCAGTATGCACATGCTCTAGAGTCAAAAAATATCACTTTCGCTTTGAAGTCTATGGAGAAATCAGTAAATCAGTCAAGTTTGGCCAATATTAGGGGAAACGTATAGCTGAGAAGTTGTCCAAAATAGTCTAGCCTACGTCCTTGTCACCATGGAGCAGGGGAACTAACTAAAAAAACAAACTTGGCATTCACAATATGACTTCTTGCAATAGACTGGAGGCGTTGTTAAAGTTATGCATGGATGACACGTGCACATCTACTGTATATGTCTCCATTATAAGCCTACTGGTTACTCAAAATCACTTGAGCATGCATGGGTAAAATGTAGTGATCAAAGTTAACCCAGATCTTTAGTAAATCCACCAAATCACTAAAGAAATGATCAATCTTCCCCATATTTCTTCATTTGCTTGTTTGCTGCAATCTTGTGTTTTTTTTTTTTCTAGCTTCATCTGTTTCACAAAAGTAATTGCAAAGAAACAGCAAGCCCCAACTACGACTTTAATTCTGTGCAATGATAGTTTACATTCTTGGGTTGGAATCTGCCCAATGTATGGACTGTTATCTCAGACTAATCTGCATTCCTGTGTCATGACTCCTGTTTTATAGTCCACAGGGACATGATGCAGAAGTAGGGAAGAGGTGAAGTGCATGTTGAATAGGTAACTATATAAAAACCACGCTTAAGATCTTAGAAACCAAAGTACAAAGAGGTTAATTTGGTTCACGCATACAGAGGAGGGTAATAAGAGTATTTGTAGTAGTAGTCTTATCGCTGCCAAAAGGATTAAAAATTTGATTATTTTCTATACCGAAACTAGTATTGAAACTAGACACTCTTCTGAGCAGTTATCAATACTAAAAAGTCACATTCACAGGACAAAAATGAGCCTTTCCTGAATATCTTTACAATAATCTTGAGCTGTATCAGAAGTATAAGATGACATATACTAGTATGGACCACTATTGAACCTACCTGGACCACTGATGGTTTTCAAAGATGTAAGACCGCTTGGTAATATAAAAAAGTACTATGATTTAATGTTGAAAACCACATTCTATTGACTAAATAGAAATATATAAATATACATTTTTTTATTATCATTGTGGTATCAGTATCAAGTATCAAGCCTATTCTTTAGTATCAAAATCAAGTTTGTTTTTAGTTGTAGTATCGTGTCAACACTAGTAGCATACCAAAATGTGCTTTTCAGACACCAGACTGTTATGTAATGTAAAACTAGAGACAAAACATACTTGACCAATATCCAGTGTTTCCCAGAAGGAGCATTCACTGAAATAATTTTCCCTACCAAACATTTCTTCTCCCTCATGCTCATTATTGGTTAAACATGGCACGACATCAAAAATAATCCTTTAAATTTACATTACTGGTTACAGTAAACAGACATAAATCATGATAATAACATCCCCTGAATAAAACTAAATATAGGCTACCCTGTGGTGACCTATTTTCTAGGAACAGAATCCTCGTCTTCATTATCCGCAGGTTAACATGACCCTACATGCTCCTGCTGCATTAGTGATCACTTCATCTGTCGTTTAATAATCAGGACGACACCTCCTCTCCTCTTGGAAAACATGAAACAAGAGACCGCATTGTGAGCTTGTGATTACCTGCTAAGCTCTCTCTCTCTCAACATCACCTTTAAACAATGAGACTTAGATTCAGTTAGCAGTTTTATAATTTTTGTAGTACAGTTTCAAAAGCCTGTTCTCAAGCATGTGTTGTTGATAATGGTTTAACAATAACTCAAAACCTGAAGAACCTGTTGCTGTTTACCTGTGTGACAGTGGACATTGTATTAACACAAGCATACACATGTAGACTGCACATAAAGTCTGATGATGTTTTAGTAGAGCTTTACACTTGAGATTTCATCCAATTTAATCAATCAACTTTATGAATTACTATCGCTTTTGCTGCATGGAATAAAGGTGATGTGCACGTATAATATAGTATAGAGGTATGTATGTACATTTTATACTCTTTAACTGCTTATTATTTAACATCATGGCCATTTTAATTGTGATTATTTGAAAATGTTTAAGCGTAAAGTTATGTGAGGAAATTTGAAGCATCTGACATATCCTTCAGCATTGCTAAGACAAGCTGGGCTTCTCGGTGCAGCGCCCTGAGACTTTCAGATCTTGAGTTAGGGTTGGTCAGGACTAGCCTGATTCATCAGCTGGTTTCACTTCGTGGAAACTATCTGACCTCAGTGTTCATTCACATTCGTTCACTCGAGAGTAGGCGGGTACTTTTTTTATTTAACCAGTCGCTGCTATTTGGTCGTGATGTATGTAAAGGGCAATAACAACTTTCTCCTTGATAAAATTCACCAAACATTCTTCTCTTGCTTTAAATCCTCGATCTCGAGAATCGTTGCCAACACAGAATGTATGGGCTCTTCGCTGATTGGCTGGTGCCTGGACTTGCCAGGGAAACCGTCTAGTGTATTCCGATTCCTGACCTAGTTGTTGGGGAGAAATGAAATTGAGCGGAGGCACTAGGTGGCACCTGGCTGGCTAGGTCAGAATTACTTCAGAAGATTTTACCTATTGTACATGTTTTGGGTTGATGGGGTAAATTTGAATGCGAGTGTGAGAGAGGAAATCTGCTCAGACACGAGGAGGGATACAGAACTATGCAAGCTCCTTCACTTCAATCTAACCAGATCCAGGACCTTCTACGCACTTTTCTAATCGATCTTTCTGATGCCCTAATCAGTAGCCATGTTTGAACATTAGAACAACTTCTTCTTGCACATTTACACAGCCACTTTGTCACTGTGCCATCGTGCAGATATACAGTAAAGTTCAGTTTGTTCCGTTTACCTTTCGTATTAAAGGTGCATTGTGTAACTTTTCTGGTAGAGGGTCCATCAAATACTTTTCTCCATGCAGGTGTTATTGCTTGGTCTGGAATGTTTCACAGTATGGTATTGAACATTTTCATCTTCATGGAGACCAAACCAGACCAAGTTACAGGCCAGATCTGTGGAGAGGCAACCCTGCTCACAGTCAGACTGCCTGTTTTTCTAGGTATTATTGTGCTATAAAACCATCTATAATAGAAAAAATGTAAGGTAGAACAATGACATCTCCATAGAAACAAGGAGGTGACGGACCCTCCACCAGAAAAGTTACACAATGCACCTTTAAAATGCCAAAAATACTGTGTCATCACTCACTGTTCTGACTTTTGGCCCCTGCTTCTGTTTTCTCTCCTGCTTCCTTTTCAGACATAGCGGTGGTGGACATGAGTGACGTGTTTCGGCAGCCCTCCCTGTTCTATCACCTGGGAGTGAGGGAAAGCTTCGACATGGCCAATAATGTCATTTTATACCACGACACAGACCCCGATACTGCACAGTCTCTAAAGGTACACAACCATCACCTTCATCTTTTCTTTTTGTTGCTTTGTACCATGTTATAACATTGCTCCTTCATCAAAAACATGCCTGATGTGCTATTAAAGGTCATTCATGCTTGTTTGAGTAATTTAATGATCTCTCCTGGGCACAGTTAAATCCTCACGGTTAACTGTGCGAGACCATTAAAGCAGACTTATTATGCAAAATCGACTTCAGATTTACACTGTTGAAGTTTCCTTTGGAGTAATTTGTGCATGTTTGAGCAATCTAAGTCACTTATTTTCAAGACGCCATTGCTCTGTACTTACTTCATTATCCAATTTTATTTTTTTAATCAGTGATACAGCAGCGTCGCATAGTCATGTTGGTACAAATAGAAAAAAAAAATCTGCAGCTCACTACCTTGATCTACTGAAGATGTTTACAGCGACATCATCTCTCATTGGGCACCGCAGTTTTTCTAACGTGGAAGTCAACTGACCTGTTTCTTTTATTAAGTCGTTTTAGACAAATACTACAATTGAAAATGTAGCCTGCTCATGCGCAATATGTCTTCTTTAATAAGTACTGTTTTACTTTTACTTGGCTCCATCTAAAACATCAGGCTTATAGGTGTTATAGGTGTAGCAGTAACCAAAATATTGCGATATCGTGAGCCACCACCACCACAATATATTGAAAAACAAGTTTGTTTGCTTAAATTCATAGTTATGGTGCAGCAATAGCTAAAAAAAACCACAGGGAACTACATTGACCATGATCCTTTGCTCCATTTTGATGCAAACTACATGAAGAAATAGCTGTTCTAAGCACGTTTAAATCTTCTTGTCAAGGCATTTTAAGAGGAAAAAGTAGCATATTATTTTGCATATAAATACCGTACCGTGAGATGTATATTGTGAAAATATCGTAACGTGAGATTTGAATATCATTGACATCTCTACAGGCAATAATCTTCCTGTAGTAATTTCATGTACGGTATGTTGTTGTCTTGTCTTGCAGGACATGGTGGCTCAGAAGAACACAGTAAGTTCCCATGTAAACATGTGTAGTGATTTACTGCTTGTCTCTATTCGTAGCCCTGATCCGTGACACTGCCAGTTGTCCAGTCACCCACTAGACATGCACATGCTTTCTTTTAGAAGCAACAAAACAAACACGTGAACGCTGTGCTATACTTAGCCTCACGGTCCCACCTATCTCCAGTCATCTGATCTTTCATTACTGTGTCTGTTTGGGTTGGCGGGCTAGGCCTCTCGCTTTGTACCTCTAGGTTTTCCTTGGGTTCAGTTACCTCCTGAATACAGAGGCTCTGGATTGAGAAATAAAGTAGGTACCACCACAACAGCACCCCATAGCATGTAATGATATACTAATAATGATGGAGTAAATAGTACATGAGTGACTAATGAACAATATCGTGTCATCAAAAGTTTCACAATAATATCATGGGTCGGTCACAATATATAAAATTACAAGTCTCTTTGCTCAAATTCATTGTTATGATGCAGCAGCAGCTAATAAAACAGACTGAACTACATTGACCATGATCCTTTGCTGTTTTAATGAAGACAGCATGAAGAAAACACTGTTATTAAGTACTTTTGATAGAACTATTATGACAGAACTAAAGGCTTGTCAAGGCATTTTTTTGTATTTATGTATTTATTTTGGGCAATTTTATTTTGCCCAAAAAGGAGTGGGAAGAAGAAACTTATTTAATCCTACCCCCACTCTTCTAATCTAACACAATGAGCTATCTTTTGCATTTTTTTAGACATTTTGCATTTTAAAAGGAAAAAGTAGCATATTCACAATTTCGTTAGCCTCCATGAAATATTGCAATAAAAATCATACTGTGAGATGCATATTGTGAAAATATCGTACTGAGAGATTTGCATATCGTTACATCCCTAATAGCAACTGAATAAATGTATCGAAAATGTATATTCTGAATACAGTTACTTTTTCATTTGGCGGTATTCAGAATACAGTTACTTTACTCAAATCAAAGGAATACTAGTACTTGACTGTACTTTATCTGCAGTTTTAGCTTGAACTGCACGGTATTTGTTAGGAAAAAATGTGCACATGTGTGATTTTTCATTTCTAATAAACATAAATTAAATGCATAACAACAAAATTAAAGCTGTTTGTAATTGTAAATTGTATTTTTTAGACTATAATATAACTCGATGTTAAAGTAGTCACAGTATTCTGATTACAGTACTCTGATTGGTGGGAATATCAGAATATGTTAATGCAATTATTCAGTATTCTGTATCTAAGCTTATTTTCAAAGTATTCTTTCCATCACTGCTAATGAATCACTTAATGGAAAATGTGTGTGCATAACAAACCCCCTGACGATACACAGCTTATAAAGACAAACACGGATATAATGAGAAGTACACGTACAGTAGTATTAAAGGCGTTCCACCTGATTTTTGCTGTCCTAAAACGTGAAAAACTGAACAATTTAATTTTCAACAGTTTGCAGTGGTCCAAAGTTATTCCTCACTTACTTTACGCATTCCACACATCCTAATTATTCACCACAATATGTCTCTAAGTGCTTTTCACAGCTTTCAGAAACCTGTGTGGACTTGCTGTGGCAGTAAAACTAACAAAAACTAGCATGCCAATGTGTACTTCCTGCTTATTGGACAGTAAAAGGCTTTATAATAAGATACAGACCAGCATGCAGCAGACTTATTTTGATCTCTAGAGCTGTTTATACAAGTTATCTGTATTAGTTGTCATTTCAAGCCAGATATACCAAAAGTACACTGAAGTACTTCATCTACATTACTATTGTGAGTTTGAAATTGGGCTCTTAATGATACGCTAATCTTATCTTGGCTTTTATATCCCTAATGACAGTAGATAAGTTTGTGTGACGTATGATAGCTTTCAAAATAATCCTTTGCTCCCTTCTCCTCTCTCCTTCGATGCATTTGGTCTGATATGTGCTGTTTAAATTACCGCTGACATTAGATTTCTGCTTTGTTTACATCCTGTTTGAAGTTCCCATGCCCTGCTCTAACTCCTGCCTCTGCCCCCTATAGGCCTCCAGCGGTAACTACTACTTCATCCCGTACATAGTGACCCCGAACCACGAGTACATGTGCTGTGAGAGCGACGCACAACGCAGGGCAAGTGAATACATGCAGCCCAACTGGGACAACCTGCTGGGGCCCCTGTGTGACCCCCTCATCGACCGCTTCACCAGTCTGCTCAAGGATATACACGTTACTTCATGGTGAGGAACTAAACCAAAAATCACATGTGCTGTAGTGAAATATGTACAATTTTGATCTGAGAAGTGATCCTGCTGAGTTAGAATACAAGAAGAATGTTTTTTTAAGGTTCTATATTACACAAAATTGAGTCTTGTGAGCTTTTAGCCACATGAGAATGTTGCTTCCTTCTCAAAAACATACCTGGAGATTTGTTTTGTTTCATTCACACACGTTTGAGTAATCCTTTATTATTAGACTGTCTACAGCTTCAAAGCTTAAAATGCTCTGCTCCACCGTGTGATGTTGTGAAGTGGTAGTTTTCATTTTAACAGCTATTTTTTTTTGCCTTTTGTCCAGTCGAGATTGGCAATTCAAGGCCTAAAATTTTCCAAATGATCTTAGTGAAGGTGTGTGGAGTTAAAAAATGTAGTCAAGCACTTCCTGTATTACCATATGACATCACAAGGTGAAACAATAGAGAAGAAATCAGCCTAAATATGCAGGATTTGTGTGTTAAAAATGTGTGAATAAAACAAAACACAGCTCTGGGTAAGCTTTAATGAGAAAACAACATTATAACAGAAAAAAGAAAAGAAAAAAGCATAGTATGGGCCCTTTAAATTAGTTTAATGCCACTCTGTGAAACATTCCATTCAAAGCAACAATATTTCGATCGAAACAAGCAGTGCTGGCATAACCTCCACAAGTTTATATGTACTGCACCTTTAAAATCATGGCTTTCAGTAACATTACTTTTTCCTGTCATGAAAGCAAATTTAAGGATTTTTTTTACTATTAGAAAGGCATTTAATTCTTTTTAATTCTTGCTTAGATTGTTAACACCTGAAAAACTGTAGATAGCAAGTAGAATAGCCCACCAACCCAAAATATTTATTACATTTTTTTCCGAAAATGTATTTTATTGTATAATGATGTGTTTAATAGCATTTAGCAAGTCGATGTCTTACTAACAGAAATGCAAGCTACATATCATAATTGTCCATAGAAGCTGTTAGTAGTGATCCTTTTTCATTCATGTTTATACTTTACACCACAGTGCTTCCTTCAAAGACACTCTGCTGAACGACATCCGAAAGGCGAGAGAGAAGTACCAGGGCGAGGAGCTGGCCAAAGAACTGTCCCGAATCAAACTGAGAATCGACAACACTGAGGTCCTCACACAGGACATCGTCATGAACCTGCTCTTCTCCTACAGAGACATACAGGTGACAATACACACACATACACACATCCATACACACATAGAGTAAAGCAAAAATCTAATTCTATCAACTGGACAAAAGTGTTAGTTTCAGAGTAGTTTCAGTGTAGTTAGCTCCTCCCTTCTGACCAGAACTGAAGAAGCAGCATGGATGAGTTGTGAAACCATATCTCTTTTGCTATTGATCTTACCTGGACGACTGAATGATTTCACAAACATACACACATAGATGTACATGTTAGATTTCCATGCTTCTGGAAACATAACATTGACTTACATTAATTTTCTCTTGACTGATCCAAACTTAAACCATAATTACCTAACCTTATTTATTATATACCTATTATTATTACAGACATGCAGCCTAAACAGGAATAGAAACAGAAGCCCATGTGTCAGCTTTTATATTATTGATCTGATAATAAAAGATTTATAATGTGGGAACTGCACTTTTGCCCTTGTAAGGGAGTCAGGGAGTGTGTACAGATTTCACAGATTTTATCCTCTATTATGTCATAAATATTTGCCCATCCACACTGTGATTTACTACTATTAATAATGTAACAAAAACAAGACTATTATCTATTTCAATACTGTATATTTGTGTTCTCAGGACTATGATGCCATGGTGAAGCTTGTTCAGACTCTGGAGATGTTGCCAACTTGTGATTTAGCAACGCAGCCAATGATTCAGTTCCACTATGCATTTGCACTAAACAGGTATCTACTGTTTGACTCTGACTGTTATAATCAAAAGATAAAGGTAGATTTATTTTTGCAAAATAGTGTTAGTAAGCGGTTTGATCCCAATCCTAGGCCTAGGACAGAGGCAATACAAACTGAAAATTGTGATTAAAGGGCTTATGTGTGTGTGTTTTTTTTAAATCTATGTTTTAATGTTGTTTCCTCTTCAAAAACATATCTTAAGTTGTGTTTTGTTTCATTCACACATGTTTAACACACACATCCTACATATTTAAACTGAGTTCTTCTCTCAAACAGAAAACACTCTGTTCCACCTTGTAATGTCATCTGGCTATACAGGAAGTGCTCCACTGTGTTTTTAAACTCTGTACATCTTCATTAGAGCCATTCGAATTATTTCAGCCCTGGAATTGCCAATCTTTACTCAACTAAAGGTAAAAGAGCTTTGGAGTTGTAGACAGACTTATAATAAAGGGTTGCTCCAACATGTGTGAATGGAACAAAACACAACTTCAGATTTGTTTTTGAGGACTTTCTAACATGGTTTAAATATCATAAGAGTCAGTTTTGTTTAATATGGAACTGTCTTTAAGATGTTGGTCAAATTATCCTGTTATTTCTGTTGAAGGAGGAACAGCCCGGGGGACAGGGAGCAGGCTCTCAGGGTGATGCTTCAGGTGCTTCAGTCGTGTGAACATCCAGCCCCGGACATGTTCTGTCTCTGTGGGAGAATCTACAAAGATATTTTCCTCGACTCGGACTGTAAAGACACGAAGAACAGGGACAACGCCATACAGTGGTGGGTACTGCTCCTGTATGTCCATGGGGTCCAACTTCCTGTTGCAGGCAAGACTTTTTCTCCATTCAAATGACACGTTTAGTTTTAAATTATTAATTGCTATTATGATGTTCTTATTTTTCATAATTTGGAAACTCAATAGCAATATTTGTTACATTCTAATATCAGTCTCATCAAGCAGTTTTATATTATATAGAATAGTAAGTTGCTAGTATACAAAAATACATTGTTTTTTTTTTTTGCAGAAGTGTGGTAAAAGTAAAGTAATTTTAATTCTTCTTAGCTAAATTCCACCCTACATTAATTATTGTTTTGTTTATTGATTCCATGAGACATTTTTACCATAAATTTATGCATTCGGCTTGATTTTTAGAAAAAAATTAAATCTGGTGAGCTCAATATGGCAAGGTAACGCAAGACAAGTTTATTTGTATAACACAATTTGTACACAAAGTAATTCAAAGTGCTTTACAGAATAAGAAATAAATTTAAATCACAATACAAATAAATCAAAACATAAATAATCATCATAAAATTAAAAAGAGAAAAGAGAGAAAGTGCAGAGAGAGTGCGTAGTGAAAACCTTTGAACACAATAACACAATATTACAATAACTGAACGGTGATATTCATATTAATTCAAACTATGTTAAATATTTCCTTTTTGTTTACCTATTTTGTGTATGTTTGTTACTCTATTTGCAGGTACAGGAAAGGTTTTGAGCTGCAGCCAACTCTGTATTCTGGGATCAATCTGACGGTGTTACTTATTGTTGCTGGACATCAATTTGAAAACTCCATGGAACTGAGGAAAATTGGTGAGTTTTGTCTCAAGAAATCGCTGTTAAGACAGATACAGTTCTGTTAGATATGGATTACTATACTATACAGATGTACTCTTTGAATTCTGTCATAGGTGTAAGGTTGAACAGTCTGCTCGGGCGTAAAGGCTCTTTGGAGAAAATGAATAATTACTGGGACGTTGGTCAGTTTTTCACAGTTAGCATGCTTGCTCACGATGTTCCCAAAGCCACACAAGCTGCTGAGAAACTCTTTAAACTCAAGCCTCCCATTTGGTAAGAATATTTTATTTGATGTCATGTAAAGAATAGAAATTCATTGCAGTAACTTTGTCCAATTCACGTACAATAGATCACCCAATTTCCATTTTTATTGATATGTTGACTAGGGGTATAATGATATCAAAGTCTTACGATACAATATTGTCACGATATGAACTTCACGGTACGATATTTATTTCGATATCATGGAAAAGCTCACGATATGGTGGGGAGGCTCACGAATAGGGATGTAACAATATCCAAATCTCTCAGTACAATATTTTCACAATATACACCTCACGGTACGATATTTATTGCGATATTTTGTGGAGGCTAACAAAGCTGTTTATATGCTACTTTTTCCTCTTAAAATGCCTTGACAAGACTTAATCCAAAGAACTAAGACTTAAAAGTGCTTAGAACTGTTATTTCTTCATGCAGTCTGCACTGAAATGGAGCAAAGCCTCTGTCTTTTTTAGCTATTGCTGCACCATAACTCTTAATTTAAGCAAAGAGACTTGTAATTCGATATATTGTGATGGTCCATGATATTATTGTGAGAACTTTGACGATACGATATCACGATATCTCGATATCTCGATTATTGTTACATCCCTAATGCTGACTTTTTTTTTCCTCACTCACCTCTGTATAAAGTCTTTTCAAAAGTCACAATTAGCTTTCAAAATGTATAAAAAAAATAAATAACCTGCCACAATTCCTGTAGTTGAAATGGTTTGGTGTCTCCTGACTTCAAGCTACTTACTTGAAGCTTTTTTGACTTGGTATGGATAAAATATTATCTTAAAATACTGCAAACCTTATAGTTGAATAAGTCAGATTATAAGGATCATACTTAAAAAACACTGCTCAAAATGTCTAGACTAGTTGGATAAATAAAATAAAATGCATGCATACATAAATACATATCTATGCTTTTACTTGTGTTCATTTTTATCCATGTTTTTCTTTGCTTTTCTTGTTCAGGTATTTGAAATCTGTGGTACAAAACCTGCAGCTGATCCAACGATTCAAAAAACAGTCTATTGAACATTCCCCGTTGAGAGAGAGACTCAACTTCTGGATGGACATCATTGTAGAAGCCACTCAAGGCACGACCAACCGCCTCCGATTTCCAGTACGAATAGAATTACATATACACAAAACAATTTACATAATAATTATAATGTAAGTTTAACCGATATTTAACTTACAGGTATTAATACTGGAGCCCACCAAAGTTTACCAGCCTTCGTATGTTTCTATTAACAATGAAGCTGAGGAGAAGAATGTGTCTATATGGCATGTGTCTCCAGCCGAAACGGTCAGCAGTACATTTTAAATCATGCTATCAACGTTAGCTTTGTATGTTCATTTGACACGCTAAACATTGCATTATTTCAGAAGGGGATACATGAGTGGAACTTCACTGCACAGTCCATTAAAGGAATCAGGTAAGAGTCATTTGATTATTATTGTAATTAAACTTTGGAAATCAGGATTGCAATTATAGTGAAGCCTTCCTCAGTCCGTGTATCATTCGTTCATTTGTTTTTCACTATAAAACCAAAAATAAGAAAATTAAAAAACAACTGTTTTCTTATTATTTTTCTCCAAAACCAAGATGAAAAAATTGATAAGGATTCTTTTTTTTTTTTTTTTCATTTTTCGAGTTTGTGTTTAAATGAGTAAAGAAAAAAATTTTGTGACGTAAACTGTGATGCCGGACTGAACCAGGACTAAAACAGGACTGAACAGGTCTAAACCAGCTCTAAACCAGAATTGAACCAGGACTAAATCAGATCTGAGTCCTGGTCTCAGTCCTGGCCTCAGTCCCGGTCTGGTCCCAGTCTGGTCCCAGTTTCCTGATCACCCGACAGTTTACAACACTCCTGGTTCAGTCCTGTTTTAGTCCTGGTTCAGTTCTGGTGTAGTCCTGGTTTAGGACCGAGACTGGGACTGGACCAGGACCGGGACTGAGACGGGGATTGAGACCAGGACTGAGACTAGGACTGACACCGGTTTAGACCTGGTTTAGAGCTGGTTTAGTCCTGTTTCAGTCCTGGTTCAGTCTGGCATCGCAGTTTAACGGAACAGAAACGAGAAACAGCTGTTATCAATTTTTTCCATCATTCATTTAAACACAAAATCGAAAATTTAAAAAAATAATCGTTATCCGTTTTGTTTTGTTTTTCATTTTGGTTTTGGAGACAAATAATAAAGAAAAAAATGTTGTTTTTTTCATTTTATTATTTTTGGTTTTATATTGAAAAACGAATTAACGAATGATACACAGATTTTCCTCTCTTCCAGGTTCATTATTTAAGTATATAAGTATTTTGTTTCTTAAAATTGCAGCCTTTGCAATTAATCTTGCATCCCTAATTGCAATAGTTGTGTCTACATTCACACAAAACAGATATACTGGGAAAGTATCGTTATATTTTCATTTTAAGGTGAATTTTATTTTTGTATCCTTTTGTAGTATCAGTAAGTTCGATGAGCGCTGCTGCTTCCTGTACGTCCACGATAACTCCGATGACTTCCAGATCTACTACTCGACGGAGGAGCAGTGCGGTCGGTGAGGCCAGTCTCCTCTAGATGTGTCTGTGTAGGTGTCTGTGCTGGTGTTTTACAAAGATCTATAAAACTGTGTCTAATAATAAGATGTGCCTTGTGGTTACGGTCAGATTCTGCACTATGGTCAAAGAGATGATTTCTGATGGCACTGGCAACGCTGTCGAACTGGAGGGAGAACTGGATGGCGATACACTTGAAGTAAGAGCGCTAAAAAATTTTTAAATTATTGCCAAATTACATTTTTTCCTCTTTAAAGTTCCCAATAGAAACCAAATATATAATTTTTCTTATTTGACTATGTGGCCTAAAAGTAATTTTGGAAGTAAAGTTATTTCTAAAATGAATCTTAAAATGTTGCTTTTATATTTTCCAGTACGAGTATGACACTAATGAGAATGGGGACAGAGTGGTTTTGGGCAGAGGCACGTATGGAGTGGTGTACGCCGGGAGAGACCTCAGTAACCAGGTCCGAATCGCCATCAAGGAAATCCCAGAGAGAGACAGCAGGTGAGACTATATCCAACTTAATCCTAAAACAGTATGAAATTAAACTGCTTCTCATAAAACTGTCTGTTACTGTGTGTGTGAACCAGGTACTCCCAGCCTCTTCACGAGGAGATTGCCCTGCACAAGTATCTGAAACACAGGAACATCGTCCAGTATTTGGGATCTGTCTCTGAGGACGGATACATCAAGATCTTCATGGAGCAAGTGCCTGGAGGTGAAGCTCGTGTTGACAAAACTAATAATAATAAACTGATTAAAATATTTACTTAAGGGTAGAATAGGTAGCCTGTGCTCTTACTGGTAGGGGTGTAATGATATCCAAGTCTCACGATAGGATATGAACCTCATGGTACGATATTTATTGCGATATCGTGGGAAAGCTCACGATATGGTGGGGAGGCTCACAATTAGGGATGTAACGATATCCAAATCTCTTGGTACAATATTTATTTATACTATATATATATTATATATATATATATTATATATATTATTGTGTGGAAACTAACAAAACTGTTAATATGCTACTTTTTCTTCTTAAAATGCCTTGACAAGATTTAATCCAAAGAACTAAGATTTAAAAGTGCTTAGAAGTACTTATTTCTTCATGTAGTCTACACTGAAATGGAGCAGGGGATCATGGTCTATGGCTGCGTTCAGACTGCAGCCTGAAGTGACCCAAATCCGATTTTTTGGCCTCTATGTGACCTGTATCTGATCTTTTAATGACAATCTGAACGTTCTCTGTCTTTTTTGCTGCACCATAACTCTTAATTTAAGCAAAGAGACTTGTAATTCGGTATATTATGATGGTCCACGATATCATGATATTTCGGTTATTGTTACATCCCTACTTATAAAACTAACCTACGTATAAAAAAGAACTACAACCACAATCGAACTGGAGTTGCCAGTGCCTTTGTCTACATATAGAGGACACATATAAGTTTTTCTCATTCTCAATATAAGGACAGGCCTCATGTGAAAGCTCAAAACCTCCAGAATTCCCTCTCTGAGCTGCAAAGGCTACACTAGCACTGTTCATGATTGGCTGCAGTTGCTGAGGTTTAATTGTTGAGGGTTTAATTCAGATAGAGCCCATTTAGTTTTATTTCTACCTGGTTTTAGTTATAGGATGTCATTCTGCTTTCTGATTAGATTTATTTTAAGAACCAAAACACCAAACGACAACAGCAACAATTAAGCCATCATGCCCAATGTTTTTTATAATCAGGAATAAATCAGCATTATGATTAAAATCTGATTTGAACATATTGATCTCTCATCTGGTGACCTGTGCTTGGTCCCATTTCATAATAATTTCATTTCACATTTCATCTTTGACACTTCTTCTTCTCTTCTCTCTCCAGGAAGTCTGTCTGCTTTACTCACCTCCAAATGGGGTCCACTGAAGGAGGCCACTATTATCTTCTACACCAGACAGATCCTGGAGGGGCTCAGATACCTGCACGAAAACCAGATCGTGCACAGAGATATCAAGGTAACATTTAGGGTCAAGTCATAGTTAGTTAGTTTGAGTTACTTTGAGTTAGTGTGAAGAAAAAAAGTTCCATACTAATATTCAAGGCGGTGGATCTTCCATCAGAACTTTCCATTTGTTGGGAACCTGTGTAACATTTGGTTGGTTTTCTGTAGCCTATGTATTTCATTCATTTTTCTTTATCTCAGGGTGACAATGTCCTGGTGAACACTTACAGTGGTGTCTTGAAGATCTCAGATTTTGGGACCTCCAAACGTCTGGCTGGAGTCAACCCCTGCACAGAAACATTCACTGGTAACTTGTACATTTTAAATTGAAGTTCAACACACCAAATCTGTAATATTTCACCATCCATATTTTAGAATTTACTTTTAGCTTCAAGATTTGTTTATTTAGACTTATTTGCCCCGTTTCAAAGCTGTTTATGTCACATTAACTTTACTTATCATTCAGAAAGTTAGATTTAAAGGAGTTGTAATCCAGTGATGGAAGAAGCACTTTATTTTGTTACTTAATTAAAAGTACAGATACTGGAGCAAAAAGTAAAAGTTTCACATAAAAAACTAAAAGTATTAAAGTACCTGTTTAAAAATGTACTTAAAGAGTAAAAAGTAAAAGTATTTCACACAACTTTTGAGATCTAATGAAATTTCAAATTTAGTGCTTATTTTTGTTCAACAGAAACAACTGAATCATTTTTTTCTAGCTGTTTTTATTTGTATATTTGTCTTGGCTCAAACTATAAATGTTTTTCAGCAGGTCTCAGACAATAATTAAAAAATACTTTTACGTTTCAGTCTTGCTCAAAAATGTAGTGGAGTAGAAAGTACAGATACCTGCTCTCAAATGTAGTGAAGTAAAAGTCAAAGTCAAATGTATCCACTTTAAAATTTACTCACATTACCTACATTTTTTACTTAAGTACTGTACTTACACTATTTAGACTGACATAAGATATTGTAACATCCCTATCTAACCTATTAAATAAAGTAATTGCGTTTACAGAGCAGAAACGCAATAATATAGAGTTAGACTGATGTACAAAAATAACTCCACTCAGCCCTTAATGCACAGTCTAAACCATCCCCCCATTAATGAACCAAACAGATCAAGTTATATGAACCGTGCTGCTCTCAAGCGCTGTTTAAAGTGGCCCTTACCTAAACACACCAGGTCTCCCGTCTGCACTGCATAAATGGAGCTACAGAAATGCTGGCCTCTCCGAGCAGAGTGTAAATATCCAATAACCCTTAAAATGTCAAGAGGTCCTATCAGTGTCTATGGAAACAGAGAGAGTGCATGGGACATATACGCCATCTGGAGCTATTATTTACCACTGGGCTGTGTAATTACATCAGCTAATCTTGCATGAGCAGAATGGTGTTTACTTTTCATTAGCTGGTGTACGGATACGCTCCACTGACCGGCTATAGCTATACTTTAAATACTGTCCCTGTGTGACTCTGTATGAATGAGTTATTATAAGGCCCATGTTACGCTATTTTCTCTTCTATATTATAATGTTGTTTCCTCGTCACAGACTGGAGTTGTGTTTTGTTTCATTCACACCTTAACCACAAAAACCTTCTCTCAAACTGAAAACACTGCTACTTTGTGAAGTGATGTGGTAATACAGGAAGTGCTCCACTGTGTTTTTGTTTTTTTGTTTTTTTTTCACACACCTTCACTAGAATTATTTGGAAGATTTCAGCCCTGGAATTGTCAATCTCTACTGAATTAAAGGTAAAAGGTAGCTGTTCACTTAAAAACTACCACTCCATGACATCACAAGGTGGAACAGAGCATTTTGAGCTTTGGAGATGTAGACAGTCTAAAATTAAAGGGTTACTCAAAAATGTGTGAATGAAGAGCGTATCATAGGACCTTTAAATGCCAGCTGTTACTAGACTAGAAGAAAAACAAGAAAAACAATTCTAATTCATCTTAGAATATTTTTACAACCTGATAGTGTTTTTTAAATGACCTTTTGACAAACATGGATTTGTTGAGTCATGTCAACGTTGGATCAGTTTCATTCACTTTTGGCAAAGCAACCACTGAGGTACTGATACTTTGTAGTGATGCTGGGGGTGTTCTATGTATATCTCTTTTTGTGGTGGTCACACAATGTACACATTAGTCAAAAAAGTGTTAAAACTTAAGAAGTAATGGATTTAATGGATTTAAAGGAACATGTGATCAATTCAGGTATTCGTGGTCATGTTTAGGAGTTTGATTTTCAACACTGTTTTGTCTGAGGCTTGTTAGACTTTAATCTGATCTTTATTTTAACACGATTTGACCATAAAGAATTTACTTGGTTGGAACTAAAACAGGTGATATGTTCATGCTGTTAAACAAGTCTTTCTCACATAAAATTACAGTCACAAGTTAGCATTAACCAACAGTTTTTCAGTTAGTCACTCTCTTTTTGTTAAAAATCAAACACCTAAACACTTTAATTGTCATCTAAACCTTTTCTGAACTTGTTTCCTTGGTCTGACTGTGAGTTTGGTTAATATCAGTCTGTCGTTCTTCCAGGTACGCTGCAGTACATGGCCCCTGAAATCATAGATAAGGGCCCTCGTGGTTATGGGGCCCCGGCGGACATCTGGTCTCTGGGCTGCACCGTCATAGAGATGGCCACTGGGAAACCTCCTTTTCACGAACTGGGAGAACCACAAGCCGCCATGTTTAAGGTATAAGTGGTTTTCAGAATGATGAAATATTAAGACCGTTGTCATAAGAATTAACAATTTAAAACAAAAAAAATCCTCATGTCTCTCAAAATGTTGCCTATAAAGGAAGCTCAAACCTATGAATATAGGGCCAAAAAAAAAGTCTACACAGTTCTAATATGCTAGGGACATTTACTGGAACAGCTGAAATCAGAAAAACATCCACAATTATTTTGGATTTGGACTATTTTTGTGTACACTTGTGCCATTTTAGTATTAGTATATTTTTTTCACACTGAACAGTTTCAAATATTTTTGGAAACACATTGAAAAAGTAAGTATTTAGTTCTCTTCTCCTTGCTATAAAAACAGCACTTTGATAAAGCTTGGGATAAAATGTCTAAATGCAACCTTTATTGACAAAATCCACCTTGTTTTCTAGAAACATGAGCCAAAACCATACCAAAAAAAAAACTGATAAGCTGATGAGTAAATGAACACTGTTGGTTTATTATTAGGCTGGAAAACTGGAAAATCTATAGGACAACAAAATCCCAAGATCTTATTAGAATCTGTAGACTCCTTTATATGCACTGTCTGTATTTTAAAAGTGATTCCTTAGGTTACATCTTTTCTTGCAGGTTGGTATGTTCAAAATCCACCCAGAGATCCCCGAGTCTCTGTCTCTGGAGGCCAAGTCCTTCATCCTTCGCTGCTTCGAGCCCGACCCAAACAAGAGAGCTCTCGCCGTGGACCTGCTCAGAGACACGTTTGTGAGAATGAACGCCAAAGGGAAGAAGAGCAAGATCGCCTACAAACCCTCAGGTCTCATTAACTCACTGTAGTTATTTCACTCAAAAAAACAAACAAACAACCACACATTTCGCAACCTCACGCCATGGGGCAGATTGATGAACGAGAGGCTGCCAATCTGCACCATCGACCTCTCTGATCACCAACATGCCACATTCATACTAGGCAAAGTAGGTGAAGTGTCTTGCTTAAAGTTGCACTATTTAACTGCTAATGTGGAGGGTTTGCTACTTCCTTGTCTCCATGGGAGATGTTATTTCTTTGCCTAGGATGTTCCATAGTGAAGCATTAAACATATACCCCATGCTTTTGCTGAATTAGACATGTTTTATAGCTTAAAAATCCCTTAAAAACATGAATTCTTACCATGTGCAGGCTTCTACATATCTTTCATAATTAACCTGTCTTGTATGATTACCAAGTTTATTTCCATACTCAGGAATAATCAAGGCAAAACATTAATAGCTCCATGGAGACAAGTAGGTGGCAGAAAAGTTACACAGTGCACATTTAAGGCATTAGGTCTGGGCAGGAATCATCTGGCCTTTTGTTTTTGGGACCACTGCTCCAACAATCATCAGCCATTTTCGTAAACTGCTAATATGAACACAAAGTTTTTTACCAAGAAGTTAAACAAACACCCCCTTATTGAGTGTAAGGTTTAATATCTTGATGTATTTATTCAATCACACCATATTCTGACTTATATGTTTTAAATATGGCCAGTGTTTTATTGATAGTGTGTTTTGCAAGCATTAAAAACTTCATAAACATGTTACAAAATATGTGATATATGATTGTTAGTTTGCTTAGTTGTTTATATTACAGTTTGTGTTGATTGATGCTCCCTGAAATGTGCACTTGGACTAAATCTTCCTCTTGTATCTGATCTTTTCACAGACTACATCCACAGTGTGTCTTTACCAGTGCAGTTACAGTTAGAGGCCTCCGGGGGCAGCAGCTCTGAGCACGGCTCCGTCAGTCCGGACTGTGACTCCGAAACATGACGTGTTTTTTCAGAAGAAGAAAGACTCGGGGTCTGAAAACCTGCTCAAACCCACCAACTCCAACTACCTCAGGTCGGTTTAATGTAGAGATGTCACAATCATGGGGAAATGCAGTGTTAGGATTATTGTTTTATACATGTGTAGGACTATTTGAGAGAAGAACACAGTTTAAATATGCAGGGTTTGCGTGTTAAACATGTGTGAATGAAACAAAACACAACTCCAGGTATGTTTGTGATGAAGAAACAACATTATAGCATAGATCTAAAAGCAGTGTAATATGGGCTTAGGTCTAAGTCCTTGCATCCCTAGTTCACAAAAGGACCTCTGGCAGCAGCTTATGTGTAAAATGCGAATGAAATCATGTGTATTTGTATGTGAGTGTGATTTATATGAAACGTGTGTGTGTGTTCGTGTGTGTGGATGGCAGCTGGTCTCACTGTGCCTGTACAGCTCAATGCCTTTTACAACACTACACACATTATGGGCTCTGATGAGTTTATGGTCCTGACTGGTAGCTACGCACATCTGTTCTCATGTTCATGCTGAATCACTCTTCTGTCCTCTCTCCTCTCTCTGTCTCATTCTCCTCTTCTTCATCCCCTTTTCTTCTTTTCTCCGCTATCCTCTTTCTCATCCATTTTGCCTTTTGTCCCTCTCTCTCCTCCTCTCATTCCTCCATTGCTTCTTCTTCACCTACCTGCCCCTCACCGTGCCTCTTTCTTTTCTCCTCCCCCTCTCCCCTCACATCACGTCTCCCCTTCGGTCTCAAAATGGTCGTAATAACCTGCTCTACATGGTCCTGGTGTTTTTATTTTGCTATTTTGTCATAAATCAATTCCGATTTCTAAAAAGGAACTCCAAATTCACCCCTGTAACTACAATCCTCAATGAGCTTCATTTGACTGGAGCCGAACACTATGGGATTTATACAGTCTATGGTTTCACCTCTCTTTCTAACATCTCTTTGCTCTCTTCTCCCTCTCTCCAATCCCCCCACTGCCCTGTTTCATCCATACCCCTCTTTCTTCCACCTCCTCTCTCCCCTCCACCCCACTCCTCTCTCATCCATCACCCTCTGTTTACATCCCTTCTCTCTGTCCCTCTCTTGTCCCCTCTGTTCCCTTGGCACACACAGTAGCCAGGAGAGTCTTCTGCAGCCTCTGTAAATAGACGTGCCCAATTGTCATGAAGTTGTAAATCAATTTGGCTTGTTTAGTTTGTACTCAGACTGAAACTAACTTAATTTTAGCAAAAGATAAATAGGGACATTATTGAGTTATAGTCTTGCACAAACAACCATATTTTCTCTCTCCATTTGGTGCTTCTGTTCTGAAACATGCTGTATGTGATTCTTGTGTTGACAGTCAAGTGCTGATGTTCCTGGACATGTTTAAAGGTGCATTAAGTCACTTTTCTGGTATGATCTGCCACATGCTTGTCTCCATGGAGATGTTATTGCTTTGCTTGGAATGTTTTGCTTAATTCCCTTAAGAGAAAGAGAGAGAAATACTTTATTGATCCAAAGGGAAATTCAAGTTCTGGTGCAGCGTCTCAGTCGTCTTTGTGTCTCAGTCAGTTTAACAGGACGACTGGGCATGTAGAATCAGCAGATCTGTGTCAGGGCAGTTTGAGGAGAGGAAGAGTCACATGTGTCCCTCCTCTGTGTCCTGCAGCATCACAGCAGCCTGCAGGGGGCGCCAGGTCAACACAACAAGAAAGGCCTCAATCTCACGCTGCTCTGTGGTTTCAGTTGGTGATGAAATGGTTCATTTTCTCAAAGTATTTCCTCTGGACAACCTTGAAAAACACTTTCTCCACAGACTTTCTTGTAACTTAGCCTTAGATAAGTTTAATGCCATAGTAAGCAACATTCTGGTCAAAGCATTTTCATATCTGCGTGGAGACAAGCAGGTGATGGTATCAGTAGCTCAGTTGGTAGAGCATTTCTTCACTGACCCAAAGGTTGTTGGTTCGAATCTCGACATAAAACATCACCGGTTGAGCGGTCAGATCCACTGACCACAGATGAATGCTGTTGTTGTTTCCTTGGGCAACACTCACCCCACCTCACTCCCTAGTGTGCTCTGGTGTATGAGTGTGTGAGTGGTTCCTTGATGTGAAGCGCTTTGAGTGCTGTATAAAAATGTGACCATTTATTTGTTGATACCATCTATTTGACATGGCTCCAAATGAATCTAATCTAAATCTAACCTTGTCCATCCCTTTCATGTATCATTTGTATTTTGTCTGTGTTGCAGTGTTCCTGATGAGGGCTCTTCGTCAGAGGACCGCAGTATCCCCCCCTCCCCCGAGGACAGAGACGGGGGGCTGTTTCTGCTGAAAAAAGACAGTGAGAGACGAGCCATCCTCTACAAAGTCCTCAACGACGATCAGGACAAAGTCATCTCCAACCTCAAGGAGAACCACATACAGGTGTGGAGTACAAAATGTATCTAATATCTAAAGCAGCAGTCTCCATCGCCATTCCAGGTAGCTCCTTAAATATTTAGGAATTTTACATATTAAGTTGAATCAGAATTTGGATTCAATGTAGGTCTATTACCAATCAAATGTACTACAAGCCTTACATGCCTACATTTGTGCAGTCAATAACTGATAATGGTTTATACTTAAAGGTTGTATACGAGAAATCCAATGTCCTCAAATGCGCAGCTACATCTCCTAACATACAGCCGGTCTGCACATGAGTCAACAATCATAGGCAAGACAGTGAGGAGCGGGGGAGCCATCCGGACGAGAAGTGAGGAGCAGGGAGAAGAGCGGAGCAGGGAGAGAGGAGAGAGGAGAGAGGAGAGAGGAGAGGGGAGCGGTGCGCATTCCGTGCCCTCAGCGGGGAAGGAGTAGGAAAATGCGCGGAATCTGCGAATTTACCAGCAAGACTCTTCTTTGCCAATTACGTTTTAGTCCTACTAGCCTTGGAAAAAAAAGTAGTTTTCATAATAAGCAGAAACCTTCAGGAGAATTTGCGACCAATGCGTCAGTCTTTACCCTGCGTCTGCTTCAGTCGGCCATCGTGGAATGAATACAAGAATCACCTTATTGGCTCGCTGCTTTTCCCCTTATCTTCTTCTTTCAACCTCAAAAACGGACTTTCTTTTCAACTGCTCCTATTCTTGTCTGCCATTGCAACAAACTTTGTGCTAACTCGAGGAAGATATAGGTCAAAAAAATAAGCTGTTGCTACACATGCAGGCGTTAAACCACGTGCAGTAGAAACATTGATAGCCTGTCAGCTATACTGCCTACATATGATGTCAATAACTGATAATGGTTTATACTTAAACAACCAGCTTCACCCGTCTAAGGCTCATAGTTGCCGATATGTTGACTCCAGTTACTCCAGTAGCCAAGATTTCTTATTGGAACCCTCATTTCTGACTTTGTGACTACCCAAAGTATATTTAGTAGTCATATATTAGGTTTTAGCATTTTTATTAATATATATTTTAAGCAGATAATAATAATAATAATAATTCCTTGCACTTGTAATGCACTCTCTAGGCTTGTCGAAGTCTTTCAAAGCACTAAACTGTAGACTTTATTCATTCACTGTATACTGGGAGGTGGTAAGAGACTACTATTGTATCCACAACTGCAACAGAACTTGGTCTGAGTGGGAATCAATCCTCCGACCTTCGGGTTAGTAGAGGTTGTCGAATGTCCTTCCTCTGAGGTGATGTTCGAACCCCGTACCCTCCAGCTTCAAGGCACATGTTAAACTTACTCTGCCACTGTCGTCCCTTTGGCATTCTCAACCAAAACAAATCTTTCTTGAGTGAGTAATATTTTAAACGGCACTTGTCCTGTCAGTATAGTCTCCCACAGTGAAACATGAGCCTGGGACCAAACCTTTAGCGATGTCCTTTGGATGAGACTGTCCGCTTCACAGCCAAGTCCCTGAACACAGCTGAACAACCATCAGTCAACCAGCTATTTACCCCTGCGATGTCCTTGAAACCATCTTGTAGTGTCGACAATCTGCTTAACTTGTCATATATTAATGTTTATAGCATTATATTTGCTTACATTGTGCCAAGAAAATGAATGCACTTGCTTATATTTATAACAAACAATTAATTATACAAGATTAAACTGCACCAAATGAGATGAATGAGCATCTAAGTAGGTAGATCTTTGGCGGCATCTAGTGGCCACTCTAAACATTACATTACTATTTCCAGGCAATATTTTGTCAAGACCTTGCTCATAATTAGTTTTCTAAAGGTGCAATATGTAACTTTTTATGGGCTCCACGGATCAGCTGTTTGTTTCCATGGAGATGTGATTGCTTTGCATGAAATGTTCCTCAGTGTCACATTAAATATACAGTGTCTATATCCATGGAGAGATGCAGATGACACGACCAGATCATTTTACATTTGTGTTGAAAAAAGCAAAACTAAATGCAACTAAGTGCAACTGTGTACATTTCTCCACATAGGGCAGTGAGGAGCTGCAGCTGTCTGTGGACCACATAAAGCAGATCATCTGTATCCTCAGAGACTTCATTCATTCCCCCGAGAGGAGAGTCATGGCCGCCACCATCTCCAAACTCAAACTGGACCTCGACTTTGACTCCACCTCCATCAACCAGATACAACTCGTGCTCTTCGGCTTCCAGGACTCAGTAAGAACAAAAATACAACAAATTATTGATAATACTACTGTACGTTAGCAGTTACAATAGACTTTATTTATGTGGTGGTGTCTTAATATTCTGAAAATATCTTAAGTTTAACATTGAAGTAGCAGGTAAATAAACTTACTGATGCATTTAGCAGCTTCTATAGTTTGCATTTAAGATTACAAATGACTAATCAAGTCTAAACCTGAAATGATAAACTTTTTTTATTCTAGAACTAAAATTCTAAATGTCATGGTTTGTGTATTATTACTAGTACTGGAAATACTAGGGTTATAAGCAAGTACCAAATTCTGTCAGGAAAAATAAAAAAGATGTCCCTCCAACTATCTTTTTTTTCATTGTGAAATATTTATAATGTTGTAATTGTTGTTATTTTAGGTAAATAAAGTGTTGAGGAATCACCACATCAAACCTCACTGGATGTTTGCAATGGACAACATTATCCGCAGAGCTGTGCAGGCGGCGATCACCATCCTCATACCAGGTGAGACAGGGAGGGTAGAGCGCCATCTGCTGGACATCTGTAAGATTACACTTGGACTTACAAAAAACAAAACGGCTGAGAATCTCCATAAGCAATGTTTTGCTGGAGATGAGAATTCACAGTTATGAATTAGTTTCACTAATTTGGTAATTGGTTTATCCCATTTGGAGTGTACTACATGCCTTACATGCCTACATTTGTACACTTAATAACTGATAATGGTTTATACATTATGTGCAACTAACTGCACACTCCTAAGGCTCATAGGTGCCGATATGTTGACTCCAGTTACTCCAGTAGCCAAGATTTCTTTTTGGGACCCTCATTTCTGACCTTGTAACTACCAAGTGCATATTTAGTAGTCATATATTAGTCAGAGGTTTTAGCATTTTTATTAATATATTTTTCAAGTAGATAATAATTCCTTGCACTTGTAATGCACTTTCCAGGCTTGTCGAAGGCTTTCAAAGTGCTGCACTGCATTTGGAGTGTGCGCTTTGCAATATACATGAAAGACAAAGTAGTAAGGCTTCAGAAAGTATTGAGTCAAAATTGTTCAACATTTGTGCAAGAAAAAAAAACAACTATCCGTCTCATTTTTGATAGAGAAGAAAGAGATAAAAAATATACAATATGTAGTTAAACTGGCATGATATAACTACCGTAGTACTTCATAAAACAGTTTTTGGTATAATTTTTAAAGGTGCACTGTATAAATTTTCTGGTGGAGGGTTCCTCAAATGCTTTTCTTCTATTGCTTCGTCAGGAATGTTTCACAGTTTGGCATTAAACTTATCTTCACAGAGACCAAATCAGACCAAGTTACAGTTCAGATCTGTGGAGAGGTGACCACAGATCTGTCAGAATTCCTGTTTTTCTAGGTATTTTTAAACAATAAAACTACCTGTAATTGAACAAATGTAAGGTGGAGCTGTTTAATGTCATACTGTGGAACATTCTAATTAGAGCAATGACATATCCATAGAAACAACGAGGTGACGAACCCCCAACAGAAAAGTTACACAGGTGCACAGTGTAACTTTTCTTTCAGAGGGTATGCCACATGTTAGTCTCTACGTAGATGTAATTAACTGTTCAGCCTGGAATGTTTCACAGTAAAGGATTAAACCTACCTGTCTCCATTGAAACAAGCAGACTTTTAATGCCATATTGTGGAACATATCAAGGCAAGGCAAGTTTATTTGTATAGCAGAATTCGTACAAGCAAAGCAAAGCAAATAACTTCTCTGTACTCCTCACCAGGAAAGTTACACAATGCACCTTTAAGTCTGTTCTTTTTACCAATCATTCACCTTAAACTTGTATTGATAGAGCTGCAGACCCACTTTGGCCCGGCGTCCGAGTGTGAGGGGGCAGAGAAGGACGATGAGGTGGATGAAGAGGAGGGGGAGTACGCTCACGTTTTGGCCTCAGCTCACGAAGACTCAGTGACCACCACAGACCCCTCGTCCTCCGCCGTGAGCACGCTGCACTCAGGACAGTCCCAAGAACATCAACGCACCCACCACCAGCTCAACGCACAGCTGGGACGCCTCAAACAGGAGACCAACAGGTGAGGGACAGAACAAAATAATGTTACAACAGGGAAGAATCAGACTTTAAATGTGCTATACCTGATTTTGACTGTCTCAAAACGTGAAAAAACTAGTTGATTTTAAATAGTTTTCAGTGGTCCAGAGTATTCCTCACTTACCTAATGCATTCAGAGCAGAGTCACCAACCTTTTTGAAACTGAGAGCTACTTCATGGGAACTGAGTCATACAAAGGGCTCCCACTTTGATACGCTCTTATAACAAATATAACAAATAAAATAAAATAACAAATTTGCTCAGTTTTCTTTTAATTATACATTATTAATAATGATTAATGATGATCATCTATGTGAAGACACTTATCACGTTAATGATTTCTCACAATAATTATCCACAATGACAGCAAGGTGAGAAACAGATATCAATATTCAGCACCTTAACTTTATTCATCTCAGTAACTGTTAAATTTTCAAGTAGAGTGTTATCATATTTATCATATTTAGCTGCCATTATTTATCACATTATCATATTTGCTTCTCTGAGTGCATTTCCACATCAGTATCCCAATTATAAATGCACTTGACATAATCTTACAAATGCGCAAGTGCAAAAATTATATATTTAATAAACCAGGAAAAATATAAACAACTATGAGCCCCTTTAGCAGAGGAAGCTCTGGATCCCACAATCCACTGTACAGATCAAACCCAACATTTCTAAACACTATTGTACAGATTCTTAATTAAAATCTTCTGAATAAATAAACTCAACTTTACAACATATAAACCATAACGACTGTAGAGCCTCATCAGCCGTTTGAGAGTATAACATATTTAATGCAGCTTTTGCACATTTGTTTACATTTTACAGAAACGAAACTTAAAACTGCATGGCTCATTTGCATAAACTGTAAACTCTAAAAAAAAAAACAGCTCGTTCATCTAGATTGAGTATCTAAACATAATGTATAATAAACATATTTTTAAGATATTGTCACTTTTAAATCTATATAAATGCAAGAGTGATTAAAAAAAGAATCGCAACAGAATAAAATTAAGTTTTAGATGCAGCGCATTAGTTGTGCTATTTTTAGAACCGACGTGCGGGTGACTCATGTAGTCCTTGGGGCTGACCTGGTGCCCGCGGGCACCGTGTTGGTGACCCCTGATTCAGAACATCCTAATTATTCACCATGATGAGTTTATAAACGCTTTTCACAATGTTCACAGACCAGAGCAGAGTCTTGCTCTCATGATAAAGCTAACAGGAAATTCCATGCTAATGTGCATGTCCTCATTATTAGAATAGTTTTATGATTAGACGCACTCTGCACGTAGCAGACTTATGCTGACCTCAAGAGCTGCTCATACAATATATCTGTACTGGGAGAAGGCAAATTTGGCAAAAAATCTGGTATCAGGCTTTTAACCTGCAAAATTGTTGTACCAAAATGATCTCTAAATCTATGCTGTGAAAAATTAGACATAATAAAATTCTTATTGTATGTTTTCTTAGATTTTTGCATCACATTGTATTCATGAATATCTTAAGATTTCTGAGATTGCCCTAAATTATGACCAGTATTCAAGTGGTCTGTGCATTTTTCACATTATGTACTGTCAAAATAAAAAATAAAAAAACTACAGACAGCAAAAATAATAAGAGTAATAATAAGAAAAAAAACTTTGCTGTAAATAAATACATTTTTACTTTAATTTGAGTTTTTCAGAATTAATTTAGTGCATTGCTAGTATTTCTTAGAGCACATCTTATTTTTGCACTATCTTCTAGCATACATATTTGGTCTATTTTTGTTTCTCCTATTTTCAACGTTGCGTGCATTTTGTTACAACTGTGTAATTATTTACAATTAGGTTACATTTTACCTGGACTTAGCAAACATTACACTATAATTCATCCAGTTAAGAAAAAGCAGAATTTCCCAGCTGTGCCTTGTTAAGATTATATTGTGTTTGGATAATTTGTTCATTTACGTCATAACCACTTCATAGGTGTAACTCTTCCTCTTTGTTGAACGAGACCTGTAGGGCGTGTCCTAAAATTTTGTCATTTGTCAAACCCAGTATACGGTGATGAAAATTTCCACGTGTTTAGTCATTAAAGACACGTGTACTTACTACTCTTGCTGTCACCTGAAGAATGAAGCAACTGCACCGACTTCAGACTGTGGGTGGTGGCTGCAGATATATTAGAGATAATGTAGATTCAAGTTTTAAACAATAGATAAGGAACCAGTGAGTCAGAGCAGCAAAACTACAGACTGAATTCATCACACTAAACTGTCAGTCTCATATCTAATAGTACTTTTAGTGCTGTGTTGATTAATCTCTTAACAATAGAGAACATAAACAGTAAATATTTAAAGACTATTAACTTGACAGATTACAAATATAGTAATTGATATGTTTTTAATTATCATACAAGCCGCTACTCTCATAGAAACACATTATAGCAGGAATAAATAAATAAAATTATATGCTATTTTTTATCCTTTTGTTGTGTAATTTAGACATTTGAGTGGTATTGGGTATTATTATTCTGGACAAAGTATCATCTTGCTATAAATACAGTTACAGTAAAGCATTGTTTCCCAAAAACTGGGTCACGACCCTCAGGTGGGTCGCAAGAGATTTTTTTAGGTCACCTTGTTATGATCTGCATGTAGATCTGCAATATACTAGTCTGATGAGCTGGTTTCACCTCGTGGAAACCGTCTGACATCTATTGCTGCTATTTTGTAATGATGTATGTAATGCGCTAAATCCTGTAGGAAGAAGGGCAATAATGTCTTTCCCCTTGAAAAAATTCACCAAACATTCCCTTTGTTCCGGCTTTAAATCCTCGAACTCGGGAATCGTTGCCAACACAGAATGTATGTCTTCGTCTACATCCATCTCGACCGCTTTGTTTACTGTTGTGCTGTACCACAAAAGGGACCCAGACAGACACTTGATTTTGACGTCATGGCTTCACAGCTCTTTGCTGATTGGCCGGTGTGTGGTCTACAACTTCCGAAGTTCTTGCAAACCATTTAGTGTATTCTGATTCCTGACCTAGTCGCTTGAGAGAAATGAAATTGAGCAGAGGCACTATACAGTTCTGACACATGAGATTTTCTGTGCTCACAAAAATGAAGACAAAGCACAGAAACAGACTGAATGCTGCGCCTGATCTGCTGCTGCTGCGCTCTCCTCCTGCACCCAGAACTGGAATGCACTACAAAAACGCAGACAGACCCACCTATCTCATTGTTTTGTGTAATTGTTAATCTTTTTGTAATTAATTTTATTGACTATTTTGTTCCAGTATTGCTGCTTCAATTGAATATTGAAAAGAAAAAGAAATGGGCTACATTTAATGTCCAAATAGGCGACTTGTGGATCATTTTATTGCTGGTTCAATTACTGGGCTGTTTGCGCACATTTGTTACTTTTTACAGAAATGAAAAACCACATGGCTAATTTGCATAAACTATAAGCGCTGAAAACAAGCTGCTCCTTGTGCCCTGATGTGGTCAGCTTCTGTCGGACTAAAGGACATACCTCAGTGGAATATGTGTGTTCTTCCTGTGACAGAGGATGTGAGGATGATGGTGAGTCTGTTCTGTCATGTTGGAGATGGTTCATGTTAAACTTTACACAAACACCAGGTTTAAATGTTGTGGTGGTGAATTACTTGGCTCTGCATAGACCTCAACACAGATTCATAAATCAAAACGACGGTGACAAGGCGATGGCGGCAGTGTGACTTGAGTCGACGCAGAACTATACTTCGCCCTTAAAATTGGGCTTTAGGAGCACTGCAAAAAAAACTCAGCTTTGATGCTTCCAAAATTGTGTTGTCTGAGATTGCGATTTTCAGTCCAAAACGATAGATCGTTCACCCCTATTCTGTTCTAACCCATTACCTGCCTGTTGCGTTGCAGGCTGCTGGAGGAGCTTCTTCAGAGGGAGAGGGAGTACCAGCAGGTCCTGAAGGCCACACTGCAACAGAGAGCCCACGACCTGGAGCTGGTCAGAGTACGACACAGGCCCCCAGGTACCAACAAATACACAAAACAGTATATAACATGGGGATATTAATACTCTGCATCTGATCTCATCCACATTCCCTGGTGGTGTGATGCTAACTTTAAGCACTGCTCTGTCTGAAGCTCTGTTACTCAAGTTTGACTTTAATCTGAGCTTCATTTTAACTCAATCTGACCGGAAAGAACTGATTTAGCTTTAATTCCCACAGGTGATCTTATTTGTGCTGTTAAACAAGTACCGAACAGAACAGAAACATGAACGCTCGTATGGATCACAGGCTCCTGAAAATGTGTTTTGTGTGCATTGTGTCACCATGGTAACTACAGAAACATTCCACCACAGAAAACAGAAATACATGTGGAACACCCCCCCAGCTTGGCGTCACTGCAAAGTATCAATACACTGTGATTATATATTCACGGAGATTCACAGCAGTCGAGATTTGCTCCTCCTAAAGTTTGATTGCCATAAATAAATAAATTTTTACTTTAATTTTAGTTTTTCTGAATAATTTAGTGCATTTCCAGTATTTCTTAGTGCAAAAATAAGCTGTGATCTCTCATCTAACCTACATATTTGGTTTATTTTTGTCTCTCCTATTTTCAACGTCGCGCGCACTTACGATTTTACGAGGATGTAATTATTTGCAATTAGGTTACATTTTACCTTGACCTAGCAAACATTAAACTATAATTCATCCAGTTAAGACAAATTAGAATTCACAGCAGTCAAGAATTACTCCTTTGTGTACATAGTCTGAAATAAAGCTTGACTGACTGATTCACTGATAAAAAAAAATCATTAAAAGCAGTGTCATCAATCTGCTCCACAAAAGTTAAATACCTCTACTTTTTTTTTTTACAAAGCAAAAGGTGGTTAATTTGAGGATCTGAAAATAAAAAAATATAGAGTTATTTAAATTTTTTCTTTAATAAATAATTCCAAATGTCTTGCTTTATATATTTGATGTCTTTGTATGTATCTAAAATGTAAAAACTAGTGAGAAAAAAGAAACAACAATGGATTGAGAGGGTGAGGCCCAGCTTTTGACTGACAGTGTATGTTTAAAGTATGTTCTGTGCAAAAAACACCTAGTCCCCTTTTTCGTAAATCCAGTTTAGTAACATGTAAACCTGTCTCTTTATACCTGACTATTTTCAGACATCACCCCACCCTCCATTTTCCACATCCCAGCCGATTTTGAACCGGACAAGGAGCTCACCGACTGGCTGAAGGAGCAGGGGGCGGATCCCGACACTATAGACAAGGTTTGAGTGACAGGACTTTAGGTTTCATCACGGTCTCGGGTATAAGTCATGTTGTGGATGACATAGGCATTGGCGTTACTTAGTCACAAAAGTATGAGTGTGTCGTTTTCGTGGGATGAGAAAGTACAAAGACTTTCCTATAGCAATGACGTAATTACTAAACTGAATAAGCAGAATTGTATGGTATTGTTGTGTTTTTATTACCTACTTTTAAATTATAAGCCAAATATTCTGTGTTCTTAATAAAGATTAAATTGAATTGTATTGTATTGTATTATCATGTCTTGTAAGAATTACTGGAAATATAAATTTAATTAATATATATATAAATTAATAAATTTTAATGGGCAAAATTCATAGAAGTAAATTTCAAGTAGGATACATTCACAACTCATGGTTTGGTTTGGTCCTGTTCTAGTCCTACTGTAGTCTTGTTCTAGTCCTGGTCTAGTCCTGGTTTATTTCTGAGCTAGTTCTGGTTTAGTCCTGGTCTAGTCTTGTTTTAGTCCTGGTCTAGTCCCGGTCTAGTCCTAGTCTAGTCCAGTTTTAGTCCTGGTCTATTCCTGGTCTAGTCCTGTTTTAGTCATGTCGTGGTCTAGTCCAGTAGTAGTCCTGGTCTTGTCTTGGTCTAGTCCTGGTCCAGTCTTGTTCTTATCCTGGTCTTGTCCTGGTCTAGTCCTGGTGTAGTCCTGGTCAAGTCCAGTTTTAGTCATGTCCTGGTTTAGTTCTGTTTTCATCCTGGTCTAGTGTTTTAGTCCTGTTTTAGTCATGTCCTGGTCTAGTCCTGTTTAAGTCCTGGTCCAGTCCTGGTCTAGTCTTGTTCTAGGCCTGATCTAGTCCTGGTCAAGTCCTGGCCTATTCCTGGTCTAGTCCATTTTTAGTCCTGGTCTAGTGTTTTAGTCCTTTTTTAGTCATGTCCTTCTCTAATCCAGTTTTAGTCAGGTCAGGGTCTAGTCCTGGTCTAGTCTTGTTCTAGTCTTGGTCTAGTCCTGGTCAAGTTCTGGTCAAGTCCTGGCCTTTTCCTGGTCTAGTCCGCTTTTAGTCATGTCCTGGTGTAGTCCTGGTTTCGTCTTGGGCTAGTTCGAGGTTATGTTTTGTTTTTTGTTTTTTACTTTAAAATATTGTAAAATGTAGTTTAAATCTAATGACTAAAACATATAAAAAGTTGCATTTCTTTTCATATAGAATTTCTGTATTCTAACACTGAGAACAAAAATACTGCAATTTCTCAATCTCACATAAACACAAACCTGCAGAATGATATGATAATTAGGAAGTGGTAAAGCTATATCAGTTGCACGTACTAGACTTGTCTGAGGAAGTGCGGAACTTAATAGTTTCCTCATCTGTCAACCGCTCTGTGATTTATGTTTATGTAAATGTTGTTTTTCTTGTTGCAGTTTGTGCTCGAAGAATACACACTGGCTGATATACTCAATGACATCACCAGAGACGATCTCCGCTGTCTACATCTACGGTAGTAATTTTATTTTATATATTTGTATTTTTAATTGTATTTTATTTGTATTTAATTTAATTTAATTTTTTATATTATTTATTTTATTTTATTTTAATTTTGTATTATTATTATTTTTTTTTTTTCCTTTTTTAACTTTTTTTTTTTTTTTACTGAAACTTTAACTTATTTCCATGTTAGCTACTAGATATAAACTATTATTACTTACTGCTATAAGAAGCATGCAGGCTGAGAGGCAAACACTTACACATCACAGCAAAAGGGTCCCTAGTTAGACTCTTTCTCTCTTTCTGTGCACAGTTTGCGTATTCTCCCTGTGTCTGGGTGAGTTTCCCCTTTGCACATGCACAATAGGTAAAGGAGCCCTCCCCAAACCTCGCTAAAGATCTGGATGATGGCTCCCTAATGTTTTAAAAATGGGTCAAATGCAAACAACAAATTTCCCAATCAGTCCCATAAAGTAGACCTTTAACATTATGCTTACTAAATATTAAAGGTTAAGTTTAAGGTACACTGCAATGTCCCCATAGCGAATTTTGATGCATTTAACCAATTCTTCACTTCCTTAGATTCAGTTAGCTGGAGGATATATTTAACCCCTTTATGCCGACTTTCACAAATATGCAACAACCCGTTTGGATCAAGATATAAGCCGAAATAGCGACTGCATTCCCCCAATTCCAGTTAGTGCACCTTTTTAGGAACATTTGACAAGCACTTGTTTCTTGTTGTCACAAATTTGTAACATACCCAAATTTAATTATTATAATTTTTTGTCAAATGAATAATCTCAATTTAATTAATGATCTACTTAAAGGCAAAAAAAAAAACACACACACTTGTGAGCTTTAAACCATGTTATAATGCTGTTACTTCCTCAAAAACATACCTGAAATTGTTTTGTTTCATTCATGCATGTTTTAGATGCATTATTAGGCCGTCCACTAGCCTGATTCAGTAGCCGGTTTCACTTCGTAGAAACCATCTGACCTCATAGCATTATAATTAGTTCGCTCGATGGTAGGCGAGTACTTTTTATCATTTAACCAATCGCTCCTATTTGGTTGTGACGTATGTAATGCGCCGCTAACGGGGCTAACTGGTATATTAAGCTTTTCCCACATCCTGTAGGAAGAAGGGCAATAACGTCTTTCCCCTTGATAAAATTCACCAACATTTTCTTTGTTCTGGCTTTAAATCCTCGATCTTGGGAATTGTTGCCAACACAGAATATATGGCTCTTCATTGATTGGCTGGTGCTTGAATTTGCATGTCCAGGGTTTCTGCAAACCGTTTATTGTATTCTGATTCCTGACCTAGTCGCTGGAGAGAAATGAAATTGAACGGAGGCACTAGGTGGTGCCAGCCTGGCAATCTGTCCACATTCCAAAAGCTCAAAATGCTCTGTTCTACCTTGTGATGTCATGTAGTGGTAGTTTTATAAGTTAACATTTTACCTTTTGTTCAGTAGAGATCGGCAATTCCAAATGTTACTAGTGGTATGGAGTATTACCTGTATTACCTGTTTTACCATATGACATCACAAAGTGTAAGGAGTGTTTTCAGTTTGAGAGAAAAAATCTGCCTAAATATGTAGGGTTTGTGTGTTAAACATGAATGAAACAAAACACATCTCCAGGTCTGTTTTTGACAAGGAAACAACATTACAACATAGTTGACAAAATAGCATAATACGGGCTCTTTATCCTGTGATGCAAGTTTTGGGTTAATGGTCAGACACGGGAATAACACGCAAACGCTGCATGCACGGAAAGGCCCAGGGATCAAACCAGGAATGTTCTTGCTGTGAAGCATGAAAGCTAACTACTTAACCTTCGTGCTGCCAAGGACATAAAGTACACCTGTCAATAATGGGACTTTCCTTGTGTAAACCACTGACGCAAATGTCGCTAACAAGTTTGCTTCAAGTTGCCTAATTGCCCGTTTTAAGTGTTTGCAATTGAGTCTTTTATCTTGCAGCAGCATTCAACTGTGTCAAAAAAAACCCCACTGCTTTATGACATTGCAAATATGTAGTGTAAAGTGTATGATTATTGTGTCATGTGTTTCAGAATGATTGACAGAATTACTTTATTTAAACTCAACTAAAACTAAATATTATAGCTTTTTAATGGTGAATACTCCTCAAAATGTCGCCTACAAACAGGAAGCTGGTTTTCCATAAATGATTTTCATGAATGATGACTTTTCTACTGATGCAGAAAAACTCACAAACTTCATGACTAAAGCTGACAAATAGTTAAATCAGGAATTTCCAGTTTGTTGTTTGATAATATGCACAGATAACATGTCACGCATTTTGTCTTCTATTGTTTGTGTACTTTCTGGCTAAACAGATTTATTGAGCTGTGCATAGTGCGTGACAGGAGTTTATTCTCTGCACGTATCTCTTTTAATGCAAATTTTAGTTTGTTTATGTTCACTCAAAGCAAAAAGTTTAGTTTAGTTAAGATAAAATGACTGACCCCTGTGAGCTTTAGGCCGTGGTTATAATGTTTTCTCATCAAACCAAAATATCTGGACTTGTGTTTTGTTTCATTCACACATGTTCAACGCACAAACCCTACAAATTTAGGCTGAGTTCTGTTCCTTGTTTTGATGTCATGTGGCAATACAAGAAGTGCTCCACTGTGTTTTTAAACTCCATACACCTTCACTAGAATCATTTGAATGATTTCAGCTCTAGAATTGCCAATCTCTACTGAACATAAGGTAAAAGGAGCTGTTAACTTGAAAACTACAGCTTTGTGACATCACAAGGTGGAACAGAGCATTTTTAGTTTTGGAGATGTAGACAAGGTATTTTTCGGACAATAAGGCGTACTTAAAATCCTTTAATTTTCTCAAAAATCAACAGTGCACCTTATGTATTAATTCTGGCTGTGTTTACTGACCTCAAACCAATTTTATGTGGTACACAGCGCTCAAAAATCTGTCAAAATGTTTTAGTACGACTTTGGTAAACTACGAAGCCGCACCGCTTGATGGATTGTCAGAACATTATGGCTACTGTAGTCAGGAGCCTCGCCGAGTAAGTCCGACAGAAGCTGACCGCATCAGCGCACAAGGAGCGAGCAGTTATTTTCAGCACTTACAGTTTATGCAAATTAGCCATGTGGTTTTAAGTTTCATTTCTGTAAAACGTAAACAAATGTGCTCAAAGCTGCATTAAACACATTATTACTCAATGTATATTTGAGTCCGCCTCCTAGGAAATAAAAAAAAAAAACACTTAAATTATCCCCCCACATTCACATTGATAATACACATTCACCAAGACAGGGAGGGAACGCCGGGCGAATTACGCCACGATCTGCCAATGGATCGTGGATGCCTGGGCTAAGGGATCAGTCTCAAGTGTCGTCCATTTGTTTCGCTTAATGCGCCTTATAATCCAGTGGGCCTTATGTATGAAAATAGACGAGAGAATTCAACATTATTGATATTGCACCTTATAATCTGGTGTGCCTTATAGTCCGAAAAATACGGTACTAAAAATGCAGGATTACTCAAACATGTGTGAATGAAACAAAACTCCAGGTATGTTTTTGAGGAGGTAATGACATTATAACATGGCTCAAAGCTCACAAGAGTCAATTTTGCGTAATATAGGACCTTTAAGTACCTTTCACTTATTTAGATACAACTTTTAAAATATAATTCCTATTCTGTAAACCACTTTGAATTACTTTGTTTATGAATTGTGGAATACATAATGCAAATACACTTGTCTGTCTTGCTCAGGGGCGGAGTTCTTTGTCGTATTTGGAGGGCGATCCAGCGGCACAGAGAGAGGCAGAGGCTGAAGAGCCCCAAGAAAGATGCATGATGGGAAAAAAATGGACCCTTCAAAAACACGCACACGTCCACACACTGCCAGCTGAGCATTATTTACCTTACTCTAGTTTATTGGTAGTTTATGGTCTGTTTTTCTTTTCTTAGCATTTCTATGTAAAATCTGTAAAGTGGCCTGGTTAGCTGAACTACTTTCTCATTGTGTTCTAGCCAGAGGTTTCAGGCTGATGCAAAATCTACACCGTTGCCATAGCGATTAATAATTCAAAACTAAACATTACATCTCCTCAAAATGGTACCTGTATCAAGTGGAAGTTTTTTCCAGTTCTGTTTTATTTACAATTTGTCCTACTTTAAAAATTATACACCACCAAAATTATTAATAGTTATGAAATAGATAAAAAAAATTGGAAAAATACATTAAAAAAAAGAAAGAAAGAAAAGAAAAAGTTCCCATTCCAAGAAAAATTTAGAAAAATACAACCTTCCTAAATAAAAATAAATAAATAAATATAGGTGCATTTCTGAGTGTATGTTATGTGTCAATATGAAATTACATTAAAGGTGCATAATGTAACTTTTCTGGTGTAGGGTTCGTCAAATGCTTATCTCCATGGTGATGTTCTTGCTTCAATCAGTCAATTCAATTAAATTTTTTCCACAATTTTAAATTATAATCTCACAAGGCACACATTTATAAATATATATAAATATCAGCTTTTTCAGGTAAATGTCACAGTATGGTATTAAACCTTTCTATCTACAGGTTACAGGTCAGATCTGTGGAGAGGCGATGCCGCTCACAGTCAGAATGCCTGTCTTTTTTAGGTGTTTCTGAGCCATGAGACCATCTGTAATTTAATAAATGTAAAGTAGAGATATTTAATGTCATACTGTGGGACATATCCAAAGAAACAAGCAGGTAATGGGGTCCTAACCAAAAAGTTACATAGTGCACCTTTAAAATAAACCAATACCAGACAACTCCCGTAGATTCCAATTGAAAGCTGACCAGTTAACCAGGCAACATGTCTGAGTGCCTTCACTGATCTCTCCTCTGCATCGAACAGATTAGACCAAAAGAGTTTAAGTCCAGGCACAACATGTTTTTTTTCTATTTCTGTTTGTGAAGGAAAAAAATTGTGTTATATTTTGTATTGTTATCGTGCTTTTATGAGGTTGACTGCACACACAGAACGTAGTGAGTGTAGCGTTCAGCTCCAGTTAAATGAAGCTCACCAGGCCAGCAGGTATAAAAGCGAGGGCCTGTTTACATGAGAACGCTTAAAAACGACAAAATATTTTATCAGAAGTGCCTTTTGTTTAAACGGTGACAGCATTTTTGGAGCTTAAAAATGCAAAAATCTGAAACCACCCTCCAGACTGGAAAAGTCGAATACACTCCGCCGTAGCGTTTACGTCTACACTGCCCAAGATGCAAAACTCTGTTCAGATCTGCGCGTTTATGCGTTTACGTCACATACATACAGTACACAGAAACAAACAGGTCGGATGGCATGCATACTCAATCGAATTCCCCACACTTTTGCGTCTCCGTATGCACGCAGATTTCCTCCCAAAAACGCTCATCTAAACACGGAATAAAAAGTGAAGACGTGACGCCACTTTTGCATATTTTGTTCAGACCGTCATCATATAAACATATCCTAAATTTGGAGCAGAGCAAATTAGGAATAGGACTGTATTTACTCACAGAATAGCAAAAATCACCAGGATCACGAACATATGAACATTTTAAGACCAAAGTGATGAGGCTGACAGCAGCAGTTAGAGAAAAGGAAACTTCTCACTTATTTGGAACCAAGCGGCATGTTAGCTGTGTCCATTTATATATACAGTCTATGATTGCACTTGAGCAATGTATCTCCAAAAAAATATTCTGTCATTTATTCAATATTCTTTTGCACAACATCAGTCAATTTCTGTATGTGGGCAGATCAGTCTTAGCGTGATTCATCAGCCGGTTTTACTTCGTGGAAACCGTATGACCTCACAGCATTAGGGTTTGTTCGCTTGACGGTAGGCAGGTACTTTTTTTCATTTCACCAATCGCTGCTATTTAGTCGTGAAGTTAACGGGGGCTAACTGGTATATTAAGCTTTTCTCAAATCCCATAGGAAGAAGGACAATAACGTCTTTCCCCTTGATAAAATTCACCAAACATTCTCTTCGTTACGGCTTTAAATCCTCGATCTCGGGAATCGTTGCCAACGCAAAATATATGGCTCTTCACTGACTGGCTGGTGCCTGAACTCACAGCGTTTTGTGAATCATCTAGTGTATTCTGATTCCTCACCTAGTTGCTGGAGAGAAGTGAAACTGAGCAGAAGAACTGGGTGGCCACCAGCCTGGCTAGATCGATCTATCACTATTACTCAAAATATCATAGTATCACTGTTATGAAAAGTACTATCACTATTGCATACTTATACTTGACCTAATAATCCAGACTAATTTACGTTATGTTCGTTATGTTTGTTTATGATATAAAACTACACTAGGCTAATGTTACACTCACTATGAAATATATTCAATTTCTATCAGCCACCACATGTACTTTTGACAAATACATAAAAACTGTGGTTATTATTTAAAATATATATATTGCTTTAATTGGAAATCTAACTTCTATTTTAAAAAGTGCAGTAATATGATGAGGGGCAAAACAGGCTCCAACAACAACAATGGAGCACTTCCTGTATTACCACATGACAGTGTATTTTCAGTTTGAGAAAAGAATTCAGCCCAAATATGCAGGGTTTGTTGTGTTACACATGTGTGAATGAGACAAAACACAACTCCTGGTATGTTTGTGATGAGGAACATAGATCAGAAAATAGATTAATCTAGGCCCTTTCACTTTTAATGTTTTCTAATAGCTATAGTCTTTATCTTATTGCCCAAAATGGTTTTATATGAATTATGGTGTTATCTTTGCCTTGTCAAACATTCAAAAAAGTCTATCTTCCTTCAACAATTATGAATACAGAACTTTCCATTTCTATTTTCAGCTCTTTGTGCCTTCCTGGATAAACATGCAATCCTTAAAACTGCCTTGTTTGCATCTTATTTATTTATAATTATGTAAATGTGCTTATGCTACCAAAATCTTTCCTTAATCGTTTAAATGTTCACTTTTTTCTATTCAAATTGTTTATGTTAAAATGTGCCTTGTGCTTCAATGAATGCTTAAGAAGTGCAATAAATATTAAAGTTACTCACCGACACTTGTTTACAGTTGTTTTTTTTTTTGCCAGACCTGTCTCATAATTACTTTATAACTAATATTTTTAATTTTATTTAATTTTAATTTAAGTCACCATTTTTTTCATGGTTTGGGTGGTCTTGTGACTTATACTCCGGTGTGACTTATATATTAAATTTTCACATTGACAGCCGCGAGAGGCTCTAGTCTTGTGTGTCAATATCTGCTGCTCCTATTACCCTGTACCACTGTCACTTCACTCTACTGCACGTGTGTCCTGCAGAAAAAGTCTCTGTCCTGCTGCAAGTAGCGAAAAATGCAGCCAAAGACAATAATTGAGCAACAGAAAGAAAGTTTGGAGTGAGCGAGAAACTTGTGAGGGACTGGCCGTAAAGTGGGGATGGAGAACACAGCTTCACGGTAAGTGGGAGGGTGTACCGTGTAATTTTCCTGGAAGTCACTGGATGGATCGACAAAGCCTGGACTTCAATGACAACCGAGACCATCCTGCCGGGTTCAGAAAAGCCAGAATAATTCTAACTGGAACTGATGCTGAGTCTGACGACAGATACACAGAAGAGGAAGCGGCGATCTGTTTACCGCCGGAGGTCGCAGAGTTGCTCAAAAGTGACACAAAAAGTGTGACTTATTTTTTGGCTGGTGCGACTTCTACTACAGAGCGACTTATAGTCCGAAAAATGCAGTATGTTGTAACTTGGTCTCCATGAAGATAGAAAGGTTTAATGCCATACTGTGAAACATTCTAGACAAAGCAATAACATATCCATGAAGAAAAGCATTTCACAAACCCTCCACCAGAAAAGTTTCACAGTGCACCCTTAAGTATAGGCACAATGTGTGTATATTATGAAAGATAAGATAGAGACACTTTTACAATATAATTTTATCTTTTTTTAGCTGTGAACCCTCAGCTGCCAGTGTTTGGAAGTAACTGAATACATGTACTGAGAATACATACTCAGAATAATAATTTTGAGTACCTGTACTCCTAGAGTGACCAGATTTTCTAAATCAAAAACTGGGACATCTCTGTTTTTTGGTGGTTGGTAATAATAAAATTGTGAAACGAGTGCATAATGTAGGAAAACTGATCTGCAGAGACCATTCATAATGAACATGAGTCAGTATAGTCACATTTTCTTTGTGTTTTGGTCATTTTTAAGCAGCTTTTCTGTATTTTACCTAAACAAATGACAGTTTAAGTCTCTCTTTACTGTTGGCAGGGATTAGATTGGTCAAAAATAGGGACACCTGAGACATTTCTTGTATGAAACTATGACAAATCAATGGTTTTGGAATAAATCTGCTAAGACAGGGGACACAGGGCTCAAAACTGGGACTGTCCTGGGGAAATATGGACGTCTGGTCACTCTTATGTATTCCAGTACAGTTATTTTTTTTTTCATTTGGTTATTTTCAGAATATAATACATTTTCTAAAATCAAAAGAATTCATGGCAGTAAAATAATCACACAATGTAGGCTTCAAACTGCAAAATATGAGAGATAAAAATAGAAAACACTGCTCTTGTGGTGAATACAAGTGTGGGTTTTTTTTCTTCTTTGAACAGTTATAAATAAACACATAACAAACAGTAAAACACACATAAAGCTGAGAATACAATACGTTACATAACACATTTTAATGCAGGTATTCAGTATTCTGTAATTAAATACATTTTCAGTTGCACACCTAAAGCTATTTTTGGATCACTTTCAGATGAGGCAACACCTGAAGTCACATGAGGTTCAGTACCAGACAGGCAGGTTGTAACACACTGAAATGAGGAAGTAATATATTATGAGTACACAGTTTTTACACCACATTAAGTCACTTTTCTGGGGCAGAGTTCACCACAAGCACATCTCTACGAACATGACATGATGTTCCACAGTGTATCATTAATCTTCCTTGTATTTATTTAGTTACTGGTAGTTTTATTGCTCAAAAATACATAGAAAATACACATTCTTGCTGTGAGTGAGGTCGCCTCTCAGTCACAGCTTTCGTGCCCAAACAAAGGTGCATTATGCAACTTTTATATAGTATGAAAGTTCCATACTATGGCTTTAAAGGTCTTATATTACGCAAAATGAACTGTTGTGAACTTTAAGCCTTTTTATAAAGTTGTTACCTCCTCAAAAACATGCCTGAGTTTTGTTTCATTCATGTTTGAGTAATGATTTATTATTAGTCTGACTATATCTGCAATGCTCAGAATGCTCTGTTCCACCTTGTGATGTCATGAAGCAGTGTTTTTCAAGTTAACAGCTGCCTTTTACCTTAAATTCAGTAGATATAGGCAATTCCAGGTCTGAAATTATCCGAATAATTCTAGTGAAGGTGTATGGAGTTTAAAAACACAGTGGAGCTCTTCCTGTATTACTACATGACATCACAAGGTGGAACAGAGTGCTTTCTGGTTGAGAACTCAGCCTAAATATGCAGGGTTTGTGTGTTAAACATGTGTGAATGAAACAAAACATAGCACAATATGGGACCTTTAAACTACGGTTTATCAATCTCTATGGAGGCAAGTAGTTGATGTAACCAGGCCAAGTTACAGGTCAGATCTGTGAAAAGGTGGGCCCGCTCACAGTAAGAATGAATGTGTAGCAACATCTATAATAATACTAGCATAATGCCATACAGTGGAGCATTCTCTAGGCAGTATCTATATGGATGGCCAAAGAGTTATAATTATTATTTATTATGCCTTTGTTGGTGTTTTTTACTCAGTTATTTAGAGCAAAATTGTCTTTAACATTGTCTTTTTTTTTGCTAAGAAATTCTCTGTGAAGCCATCGGGCATGCTGTATAAGATTTTGGACAGCACAGATACTATATTTCATCTACATTGTTAACTGTATATGTTTTTTGTTTGTTAAATTGCTGTAATTTTGTCCCATGTGTGTTCCAACATTTGGTGATAAGCAGCAGTCTTAAAGGCCTAGTGAGTTTCATCTGATGATTCATCCTCTGTTTTGTGCGAGTGGTGATCAAGGCTTTAAGTGGATTATGGGTGATTTCTGTCCAACTGTGATAAAGTTCTGCAATATTTGATTTAGTTTTCAGACTGGTGCAGACCTCTACTGCTGTCTGATGAGAAGCTGTAGCCTTTGTTCAGGCTTAAGGAAATGAGCAACACATATTCTAACATTTTAAAACACACTATGTCAATGTAGTGTCACGGTACTTAAAGGTGCATTGTGTAACTTTTCTGGTGGGGGGATCCCTCAAATGCCTTTCTCCATGGAGATGTTAATAAAAAGTTTCACATGGAATTAGACCTTTGTATCTTCATGGAGACCATGTTACAGGTCAGATCTGTGTAGAGGCGACCCCGCTCAAAGCCAGAATGCCTGATTTTCTAGATATTTCGGAGCAATAAAACCACATGTAATTGAATAAATGTAAGGTAGAGCTGCTTAATGTCATACTGTCATAATGTGTTAATGTCATTCCAGGCAGAGCAACGATAAATCCATCGAAACAAGCAGGTGATGAACCCCAACCAAAAAGTTACACGGTGCACCTTTAAACTCGATTTCGATACTAATTAATTCACTCAGTGCAAAATGCAACATTTTTAGTAATAGAATGTAAATTTCACATGAGGTCTTATACTTAAACTGCTCAGGAAAGCTCAATACTTCAACAACATAAACACAGAAAAACAGAACGGTCACCAAATCGCAAGATGTTGTAAAGTGGTAAAAAATAAAGATAAAAATAAAGTTGTTAAACGGCTACACCTGCTTTTTCACAGTCACTTAAATGACAGTAAATATTAAAGGGGAAGTTACAGCTACTATAGGTTATCTGTTTTCTGTGGTCTATAATGTATAGAAGTAAACATTATTAAAACTGAATGGATTTTAATATGGTAATGTGTATAAATGTGCACTAAAAAACTAAAAGCTTTATGAAAACAAAAATAAGCATATGATGTGCAACAGGTTCACTATAAAGTGCAAATGCGTGATCACAGTTTTTAAACACTCCCAGAATTGGAGGTTCCCTTTCTGATAACTGCACGACCAAAAAAAACCAAAAAACAGGTATCAGACTCCTTAAAACAAGAAAGTCTCTGTGAAGCTGCAGATCAAATGATGGACATTTACGAAAACACACTGGAGTGTGTCCAAAAGGACAAAAGATCACTTAGAACCACATTCAGACAAACCAGAGGATCCATTGAAACCACTGATCAAGAGGAGGAGGCGGGATCCTGGATAAAGGGGAACACAGATGCTGCAGACACAGGTCAGAGTCAAATCAACTTATTTTATTAACAGAACTGTATGTAGCCTGCACTCTTAAAGTTTTTAAAACAGGCACTACAATCATAGCTGAACATGGTTTGCCAGTACCTAAACCTACAGAAAGAAGAGACATACAAGTTTTTCTTATTACAAGTTTATGACTGTGCATCATGTGACAGTTTAGAGGCTGCAGGAGCTGGGGTTTGGGCGGTGAAGAGTCAGATCAGAGGTTTTTTAGGTTTAAATCAATTATATTTCTCGAACTAGCAACCCAAAATGAGAGTGGCATGTGAGGCTCAATTTGCTTTATGATTGGATTATTTGAGAACCAAAACATCCATAGCATCAACTTTTAGTAATTAAGAATACATCAGTAAAAGCTCTTTTTGATTTTAAAATGTTCTGTGGACCCAGATGGTTCATGTTTATGGAATTGAAAATCAAAATCTGACATATGGTCCCTTAAATGTGCACTATGTAACCTTTTGGTGGGGTCCATTACCGGCTTGTTTTTATGGAGATGTCATTGCTTTGACTGGAATGTTCCACAGTATGACATTAAACAGCTCTACCTTACATTTATTCAATGACAGGTGGTTTTATTGCTCAAAAATAAACAGGTATTCTGACTGTGAGTGAGGTCGCCTCTCCACAGATCTGACCTTTAACATTAGATTTACAAAGCTGAGTTTCTTCAACAGGAGGAAGAGTGATGAAACTGGTCATACTCGGCTTCGGAGTCTTGTGCATCCTACAAGCTTCTCTCAATGTCGCCCTACGTCTCGGTCAATGTGAGCACTTTTTATGTGTTAGAGCAAAGATTTCCATAAATATTCCAAATTATTTTGGTAACTGAAGATAATTAAAGTTTTATGATGTCCACTCTAGCCTGCATAAACCTGTCTGAAGAGATAAATGAACAGCAGAAAATCTATTCAAGTGAGTAAAATGTACAAAGGGGATATTTTTGATTTTGTTTTTGTAACTTTTGACTCCTACAAAATAAAATAACACAAACATACAAATTTACACAATGCAGATCAGTGGTTCCCAACCTTTTTTGTCTCGATTACCTCTAACAGTTTGTCTCACACATTAAGTACCTGTTTTACCATTTAATGGTGTTTCTTTAGTGATGATACATTGGGTTACTAGTGATTTTAACTATTATGTTTCCTAAATGGTTCCAGCCATGGTCATCTGGACACTTTGTTGTAGTCAAGACATTTCAAGATATTTCCAAAACGTCTTGATCACAAAAACAGTGTCCATATGATCTCATTGAAACTGTCCATACACTGAACCAGGCCTGGACAAATGAAGGATTACACTATTATATTTTCTTGTTTTAAGAAAACAAATTCCAAAATGATCCTACAAAAGTGTAGTACAGTGAACATTTTACATTCAAATACCATTCACTGCCACCTTGCGCGCAGGTCCTCACGCCTCTGGTTGGGAAACACTGATGTTGATGATGCATTTTGATTTCTTATAATTAATGAAAGTACATGTTGCCAATTTTGGCAGTCCTTAACATGAGTCACCACAACCTGTCTGAAGAAAGAGATGAGCTACACAAAATGTATTCAAGTGAGTACAACTGAATTACATACATGTTTAAATCTTTATGCATGTGTAGGTCTAATAATTATGCTTTTTCACAGTCCTAATGGCCGAAAAAAAAAATCTGCTAGAAGAGAAAGAGGAACTACAGACCATAAATTCCTGTAAGTAGAAACTGTGAAAAAATGTGGAATTGACTCTTTGGCACTTTGCATTGTTTGGAACTTGGAACTGGTATGAACAGCTCTACCACAGCTGCCATTAGAGCTAATAATGCCTGTAAAAAAGCTGTGACTCCTAAAAACTAAACACTAAACACCTAAACTCCGCCCACAATCACAAATAAGTTGCTAAATTGGGCAGCACCTGGAGGCTTAAAGGGGCAGGGTCTGGAGGACAGTGTTATTGCTCTAGCAGGTATCCAAGATTCAAAATCTGCCCCATCTATAATGAGAAACAACTGGCTTTAATATCAGGGAAGTTCTGCGTGATGTCATGTAGTACTCAGAAACTAGAAGCAGCACACACTCAGTTTTTGATACAAAGCTGCAAATGTACATAGTTTGCATTAAAATTATAAAAAAAAAATAAAAATAATTAAGTGTTTAGCTCCACTTTACTTGCACAGCGAAAGATGTTTAGCACCTTTAGGATGGAGGGTTTTTGAAATCTATGAAAAGTTTGCCCAATATATATACATGTTGATTTCTTACACTTAATGAAATAGATGTTTTTTGACAGTCCTTAACATGTCTCATGTGTTACGTATTTTATGTAATAATATAAGACAAACTCAGCAGTAATATGAGTTATGTTATTAGTGTTTAAAATCATCACTATGAATCACCGTACACATGCACAATAGTAGAAATCATCTGTGTATAATATTTTCTAAGTAAAGAACTAGAGACAAATTTGATTAAAAATGAATGAATATATGTGGATGTCTCTCAGTCCTTAACACCAGTCACCAAAACCTGTCTGAAGAAAGAGATGAGCTGCAGAGACTATATTCAGGTAAGTAAAATGTGTGCACTCATTAATAGTGTGTTTGTCCAAGGAATTATTTTAACTGTGCAGAATTAACTTAGTAAATTAACTGGAAACATTTTTAACACATGGCAGCAATAGGTTTCCATATTTCTGTGATACAGATCTTGGTTCTCAAATTAATTGGTGATTGGATGTTTTATCCCCAGTACTGTGCAGGTTCATTAGATTTTGACAGTCCTTAACATGTGCCATGTGTTACGTGAGTAATATATGTAATAATATAAGAAAACCTCAGCAGTAATATGAGTTATGTTATTAGTGTTTAAAAACATCACCATTAATCACCATATACATGCACAAGAGTAGAAATCATCAATGCATAATATGTTTTAAGTGAGGACCTAGAGAAAAGTTTGATTAAAAATGAATGAATATATGTGGATGTCTCTCAGTCCTTAACATGAGTCACCACAACCTGTCTGAAGAAAGAGATGAGCTACAGAAAATGTATTCAAGTGAGTACAATTGAATTACATACATATTTAAATCTTTACGCATGTGTAGGTCTAATAATTATGCTTTTTCACAGTCCTAATGGCTGAAAAAAAAAGTCTGCTAGAAGAGAAAGATGAACTACAGACCATAAATTCCTGTAAGTAGAAACTGTGAAAAAATGTGTAATTGACTCTTTGGCACTTTGCATTGTTTGTAACTTGGAACTGGTATGAACAGCTCTACCACAGCTGCCATTAGAGCTAATAATGCCTGTAAAAAAGCTGTGACTCCTAAAAACTAAAAACTAGCGAAAGATGTTTAGCACCTTTAGGATGGAGGGTTTTTGAAATCTATGAAAAGTTTGCCCAATATATATACATGTTGATTTCTTACACTTAATGAAATAGATGTTTTTTGACAGTCCTTAACATGTCTCATGTGTTACGTGAGTAATTTATGTAATAATATAAGACAAATTCAGCAGTAATATGAGTGATGTTATTAGTGTTTAAAATCATCACTATGAATCACCGTACACATGCACAATAGTAGAAATCATCTGTGTATAATATTTTCTAAGTAAAGAACTAGAGACAAATTTGATTAAAAAAGAATGAATATATGTGGATGTCTCTCAGTCCTTAACACCAGTCACCAAAACCTGTCTGAAGAAAGAGATGAGCTGCAGAGACTATATTCAGGTAAGTAAAATGTGTGCACTCATTAATAGTGTGTTTGTCCAAGGAATTATTTTAACATGTGCAGAATTAACTTAGTAAATTAACTGGAAACATTTTTAACACATGGCAGCAATAGGTTTCCATATTTCTGTGATACAGATCTTGGTTCTCGTATTAATTGGTGATTGGATGTTTTATCCCCAGTACTGTGCATGTTCATTGGATTTTTAAAAATTGTATTTATTTATTGTTTTAAACTCATAATTGAGTACAATACATTTCTTCTCATCATTAAGGATAAAAACACAATAATATAACAAGTACCACTTCTTTACAAGCTCTTCAAGCAAGATACAATAACGTGGATGAAGAAAAAAATAAGATCCTTGCCAAACTGCAAAAATTAAGTATGTAGCCTACACAACATAGATTTTTTATTGTATTTATTTATTTATTTTTGTAATATAGTTAACTCTTGTGTGCTATTTTAATGCATTTTAGACAATAACTGGTTATACTTCAGTGGAAGCTTCTATCATTGTTCAGACAATAAGCGTTCTTGGGAGGACAGCAGGTCTTTCTGTCAGGAACAAGGTGGAGATCTCGTTGTCATCAACAATGAAGAGGAGCAGGTTTGTTCTACAGTTTATGGCAAACACTGTTGGTTACTTGAGAAAAAAGGTAAAGTTTGTTTTGAAATTTTGGCAGAATTTTCTTAGAGTATATGGAGGACGCAGATGGATCGGACTGAGTGATCGTCAGACTGAAGGAGTTTGGAAATGGGTGGATGGATCTTCACTCACATTAAGGTTTGTATACCCAGGGCTGGATCTGGGCAGAGGCACCCAGGGAGTCACACAGGGCGCTTCTATGTCACAAACATAAACAGGTGATGAACTAATAAGTCTATAGATTCAACAGATAGTGCAACACATTTCAGATGAATTCTTAGAAGCAACAGGACGTGAGGTCTGGACAGAAATATCATATTTTAGACTATTTATTACTGCAGGTGGAGGCAGAGCAGGCACCATCAGAAATCCCACCTAGGGCACCAAAAGAGCTAGAGTTGGCCCTGTGCATACTGTCCTTTTCTGTTTAGTTTCTGTTTAATGGTTTGTTTGTCTTTTTCATTTTAGTTCTTGGCTGTCAGGGGAACCAAATGATGGAAATGGTAATGAAGACTGCGGTGAAATCTTAATGCGTGATAATGGCGACTGGAAATTGAATGATCTGTCCTGTAATAATGAACAGAGTTGTATATGTGAAATGTAATGCCCTTAAACATCACATTTTTTAATTTTTTTGTGTAATTTGCTGTAAGGCCTGCATATACCCAATGCATTTGATTTAAATAAGTTTCATTTGTCAGCTTTCAAGATTGTTCAATATTCATAGCCAAAAGATAAGAGTCAATTTGCAATGTACACATCACAAATCAAACAAATCAAAAAAAAAAAAAAAAAAAGAATGCATTTTGTCGATTCTTTTGGACATATAAGTCTTAATGTATATTTGTTTTTGCACATGTTTTCCAATTTATTTCTAAACTGCAAATGGTAAATAAACTAATAAAACTGTTGTACATGGTAGTATTTTGAGTCTCTTACCCCTTCGGTGGTCCCTGTTATGACGTGCAGACCATCGTAAGTCGACTTGATGTACATTCCCTTAAAAAGACAAGCATAAAGATATTACTGCACATGTTCAGAGTGGCCCATTAGACCTTTTCTCATGCAAATCTCAAAGCTCTTGTTTACCCTTGTTTTGCCCCTGTTCATTTTAATAGCCTATATAAATGCATGGCTTTTACAGCACACTGAAGAAGTCCATTGAATTAATTTCTGGATGGGAGAGCACAGACTTCGAGCGCGTACTGTGTGGCCAGATTGTAATAGCTCTGTGAGATTTTTATGGAAATGTGTCTTGATAAAAAGCAGTATGCATGCGGTGTATCAAAGTGGATAATCTTCACAGGGGGTGGAGAGAGGGAGAGATCATTACCAAGCCTTCGGAGGGTTTGATGTTGGTGAGGTGCACCAGCTCCAGGTGGGCCGACTGCGAAACCAGAGGGTCCGAAGACACGCACACGATATGTTCACACACCTCTGACAGCGTTTTGCACTGGGAGAAGAATAAGGTAGCATGAAGTTAACAAAATACAGTCAAAGGGTGGTGAGATATACACCCGCATGATTTGGTGGAAAATGTCTCGTTGTGATATTTTCTGATCTGTGTTATAATGTTGTTTCCTCATCAAAAAACATACCTGGAGTTGTGTTTTGTTTCTTTTACACATTTAACAAACAAATCCTGCATTGCTTGTATCCTACATTATATCATCTGGTAATACAGGAAGTGCTCCACTGTGTTTTTAAACTTCATACACCTCCACACGTCACTCTAATTTCCAATCTCTCTTGAGCAAACGGTAAAAAGTAGCTCTTAACTTGCATGTCGAGCTTTGGAAATGTAGACAGATCAATAATAAAAAGTTACTCAAGTAATCTGAGTACTATAAAAGTAGTTAAATCTCACATAAAAAACACAACAGAGACAGAATTTAACTTCATCTGAATTATTCTAGAATAGTTTAGAGATCTATATCAAATATCATGGTGCTTGAAAAAATATTATTTGTGGTTAAAATTTTGTGTTTTTGTTTTATTTTTCACATTGCGGTATTGAAATTTATATCGAGTTACAAGCCTCTTCAAAATAAAGTTTAGTATTGTGACTCCTCTGTGGCTACAATGTATTCTGGAAGCCACAGCTGCCCTGGGGCATACTGAGGCACTGTTGCTAACCTGTGTCTATGACTCCGGCCATCATTAGTCAAACAAACCTGCAATGTCCAAGTTCACAAAAGGAAATGTGAACTTGTCAATTATGGAAAAAATCATTATCACGATTATTCAAACAAATATTTTTTTGTTACATGGTGCAATTGTTCAGCATTTCTCTCTCTAAAAAAACATTTTCAGAACTGTCACCGACTGTGGCAACCAACACCAGTGACAGTTGTGAATATGGCTTCCAGCAAGCAGCCAAAACATGTCAACAAGTTAAGTACAGCTCTACTGTTTCGCAGGAAGTTAATCCATTGTTTTCGGTTACAATACATGTGATTTTGTAGCATTGATTGTAATTACATCGTGTGATAGTGGATTTTAAAAATTTAAAGCTGCATTTATCTTAAAAACAGATATACTATTTCATTAAATCATATTGTCACAAACCAATAAGTCATAATCAAGTAATATATGGCTATAAACTGTGATATATATTGCACTTCAAATGACCCTCTTTCAGTCATGACCAAATGCACATTAAAGAAAAGCTCCATTTGATTATTACATTCGCTCCTTTGGTTTGGAGCTGTAGATTTCCTCTATAATTTAATGACATATTGAGTACATCTGAGCGCACTTGGCAGTTGAAGGCAGTTAAGGGGCCACTGGAGCAATCAGAGTCTGACGTGGGGTTTATTTGAGGCTACGTTTATATGATGACGGTCTGAACAGAAGACACAAAAGTGAAGTCGCGTCTTAACTTTTTATTCCGCATTTAGACGGCGAGGGACGGAATCGGTGAGGAAAAGTGTGTTGAATTCGATTGGGTATGTATGCCAGGCGGCGAGGTGGTGGCGCTTGGTGCTGATGTATGTGACGTAAACTCGTACGTGACGTGAGCAGATCTGACCAGAGTTTTGCGTCTTGGGCAGTGTAGATGGAAACGCTACGAAGGAGCGTATTCAACTTGTCCACTCTGGAGGGTGGTTTCACAATTTTGGATTTTTATGCCCCAAAAGCACCGTCACCGTCTAAACAAAAGGCACTTCCGATAAAATATTGTGAAGTTTTTACCTGCAAGCATTCTCATGTAAACAGACCCTGAGTCAAGCTTTGTGGGGCTGGTTCAAAGACAGTGTGTGAGCCGGGTAGCCACAAGAGCAACCAACCACTTCGTAAGATACGCACAGAAGACACTAAATATATGATGCAATATATACAGAATAGAAGTCAACTAAATATTTATTTCTATTTCTTAATCCTCAGAGTATCCACCCTTTGCTTTGCTGACACTGTTGTAATTCCTTCTCTCAGTGAGTTTCTTGATGAAATCTCCTAAAATGGTTTTCACTTCCGAGCTGGGCCTTGTCATGAGTGTCAAAAGTGCAAAGCAGTGATCAAGTTTATCAAGTTTATGTCCTGTTTACTACATTGCACTTGTGTTCGTGCATAGTTTTGATGCCTTCACGGAGAATCTACAAATAATCAAGGAAATAAAAAAGAAAAACAAATGAAAGTGTGCCCAAACTTTTGATTGATAGATTTAGCAGTATTATATAATACAATACCTACATTGTCTTACTTCTTACTTTCAATGATTTACACAAAACATGCGAAGTACTCATTATAATATGCATAAATCCCCTGGGTCAAAACCTCTTTGTATTGCACTGTGGGAGGTCAGGAGTATATTTAGCTCTAAGCCAGTGATGAAATAACAGGTTTGTCCATTGGGTTTTTAGTAAACTTTCTGAAGAAGGTGTGTGCATTGTCTACTGTCATAATCAAAACGACTGGAGTGGAAGAGCAGGTTTGTTTGTAAAGCACCAAAAGGAAATAACAATGTCTTTATAGCTAAACTACAAAACAATGACAAAAGAGTGATTAGAGGACATGCATGATATAAATGTCTGGCTGTACTCCCATTGAAATGTATAATAATAATACTAATAATAATAGATGGGGGGTTTTGCCCTACATTTACAAATATCATGGGAAAACTCTCACTGTGTCCATTTGAAATTCAGGTTCACTCATTTAAAGGTGCACTAACTTTGTTTTTATAGGCTCTGTGCACAGTAGCATGCTAGCTCACTGTGTCTCAAACACTGAAGAATAAACTGAATAAAATCTGGAAGGTGAACCCAAGATGGCACCGAATTGTTTTCAATGGTCTGAGCTCATTATTAAATAATTCCAAATGGTCTGTCCACTTCCTTTCATAGCTTTTCTGATCTTTGTGCTGCTTCCAGACATGTATTTTCATATAAAAGCATTTAACCAATCACATTTCAGCCATCATTTATTGCTAGGCAGAGTCAATGTTAAAGAAGTGTGGCTGAGGCCTTCACAATCCATTCTGCAAGCCCTTGAACATAAAGTAAATGTTGTTGAAACTGTTGCTTCAACCAATCAGATTTTGAGTTGGTATCGCCAGGGCCTTCTAGCAGACATACGGCAACGTCACCGGATTCAGACCCGTTGACTGGACAGTCAGAAAGCGAACCAGCCAAAGCAGCAAACTGCATCTGTAAGTAGCGGGCTACGAGAATTGAAAGAGAGAGAACCCCAAGTGCGTGGAGCAGGGTCTCCGAAAAGCGTGATCGGGCGTGGAGCTCTGCCCTGGTCCTTTTCGCCTGCGGTTACTTGCGTCTATGCGTTGTCCTGGTTTAGTCCTGGACCCTCATGTCGTAGGTCACTATAGGACAGTACTGGAGATATCAGTGTTTCCCGCAGCACTTTATAGTTGTGTGGTTGCCTTGACAACAAGTGGCCCCCGCCTTGACTACTTCCCTCCGAACCGCGTGAATCCTCTCAAAAGTATGGTCTTCGCTCGGAATCTCCTCGCACACCGTGCTTCTCACTTCTTCTCTGTGCTACGTAGATACAACATTATGTTCCATTCATCTTGCATTTACAGTATGTTTTTATTGCTCAAAGATACATTGAAAATATGCCATGAGTGAGGTCGCCTCTCCACAGATCTGTCCTGTAACTTGGGCTGCGTGTTTAAACCTACTGGTCTCTATGGAAATAGATAAGTTAAAGGCCTTACAGTGAAGCAGCCAAAACAATAACATCACCATGGATAAAAGCAGGTGCAGATCATTTCAGAAAAGTTACACATTTCACGTTATGATATAGACTAAATATGTTGTGTCAGCAGTTAATACCCTACATATCATATATCTCCACAGAAACAGAAAGTTACAGAGTGCACCTTTAACTGTATAGAGTACACACAGGTTTTTAGTTTATGTAAAATGATATTACATTCTATGCCCTGCAGTTGGCAGTAATATAAGATAGTTCCCCCAGTTGTCCTGAGGCTGACTGACATAACACGAATGCCGATCTGCACCAACTGCCTCTCCAACTACTAACACACATAAAGCGGGTGAAGCGTATTGCCCAAGGACACAACATTACACTAGCTGAACTCAAGGAAGTCTTTGGTTTCATTATTGTTTCATGGTCGACGCTACAGGGTGAGACATGTAAAGGAGATAGATGTCATATTTATTCTGATGTAAAGAAAAGCCTGTAACCCTGGATTTACATTTCCAACGGCGTAACGTGACAAGCATCGTGTCTGATGACTTATTCAATTAATAAATAAAAAGCAAACAAACAAAACATTCATACTTATTTGATTTG